CAAGATAATAGGAAATCAACAATGGCTACCATAACACCTCTTTTGTCTTCAAAATAGCTGCCCAGGCTGTCAGATACAATAAAGTCAAATCAAAACAATGAAAATGATACAAGACTTCATTTATTTATTTGTTGGTACCAGGGATCGAACTCAAGACCTCATACTTGCCAGGCAGCCACTATGCCACTGAGCTAAATTCCTGGCCCTGATACAGGACTTTAAAACAAGATAATAGGGAATTAGCAGTGACCACTACCTTCAGAAGGAGATGCCCCGTGTACAGTATTTGCACGCACACATGTGCACAGATGTGTGGACTTACATGTGTCTGTGATGTGATAAAAAATACAGTGAATTTAAAAGTTTAAAAGTTAAGACACGTTGCCATGAATCCCCTTCAGAAAACCTCCCCTCGCGTCAGACACCTTTACCCCATCATTCTGGCCGATTTCTGCAGCAGCTCTGAGGCCTCTTTCCTGAGGGTCTTTAGCTGTGCTATTGTGGCTGCCTCAGTGTCCTGAATTGATTCAAAATATTTTCTTTTCACCATCTTTTGACTTTGAGGCAGAGCTGCAAGCTGCCCAGCACCAGGTCCAGTGGAGGAGCTGAGCAGGAACCTGCTGAGGTATTTTATCAGCCTTTTTTCTGTTGGGTGGCACCTGCCAGCAGCGTTCACTCTGTTTATCAGAGCTCAAAGATACTTGTGAGAGAGAGAGGATGTCCAGAACCAGCTCAGAAAGTGGCAGGAGCAGTGCGGTAAGATGTCTGAGGAGGAGGGGATTTGAGGGAGATTAATGACAATTTTTTTTTGACGAGAGCTGGGGTGGGTAATGAGACTTGAACTCAGGACCTCGTGTTGCCAGGCAGGCCTTGTGGCCTCATCCCTTTCTTTCCTTGGTTGTCCCGCATCTCTCCGGTCAGGGGCGTGGTCCTTCATCCTAATACCTACGGGATGGCTTTGGATGGTTTGATGCTGAGGAGCGGCGTGAGCATGTCTCGGAGACAGCTGCGGGGGTGCCAGGCTGCCGGCAGGCGCAGACCTCAGGAGGCAGTGGAAGGGGTAACAGCAGCCCCGCTTGGGGTCACCATGGGACCGGAAGGGTGTTGAAGGCTTCCTGTGCAGTTCTGGAAGCGGGGGTCATGGCACTGGGCCTCGTTGGAAGACAGTGTTGCAGTTTAAAAAGTGTCGACTTTTATTCTGATTTTCCAGCAAGGCTGAAAGCTCAGTTTCCTGCTTAGGTGCTGCGGGGGAGAATTGTTAGGCTAGGTAGGCAGAGCTGGCGCTTTGTCTGGAGTCGCCAGCTGGGTGGGTACTAGTCAGCTTGCCCGCTGCTGGACACAATACCAGACCCCCGCCATTGAAAGAGGAGAGGTTGGTCAGATGCTAAAGGAACAGAGTGTGGTTCTCTGGCGCCAGTGGAAAAATGTCAGGGTAGAAGTGCCGGGTGGAGGAAATCTGCTCACCTCATGGCAGCTAGGAGGAGAGAGAAGGCAGGAGCAGGGAAAGAGCTGAACCCTCCCAGGCCACGGCTCCAGTGACCTCTTCTTCCGCAGGCCCCGCCTCTTCCGCAGGCTCCGCCTCTTCCGCAGGCCCCGCCTCTTCCGCAGGCCCCGCCTCTTCCGCAGGCCCCGCCTCTTCCGCAGGCCCCGCCTCTTCCGCAGGCCCCAACCCTTCCACAGGCCCCGCCTCTTCCACAGGCCCCGCCTCTTCCACAGGCCCCGCCTCTTCCACAGGCCCCGCCTCTTCCACAGGCCCGCTTCCTAAACTCAGCCATGGGCAAATCAGTGATGGGTCTGGCACCCCCGCGATCCAATCACCTCCCCCAAATCCCAATTTCTAATAAATGACACTTGGGGAAAGATTTCCACTTAAGGCATAGCAGTAACTGTTTTTGAAAACAAGTCTTAACAACATTAAAGTTTTTAGATAATTACAAAAGCAGTCAAATTAGGAAAACCAACTTCCCCATAGAAAGCTGTGAATTCCAGGGCACAGAAAGGATTTTTGAGGAACGAAGGCCAACAGCAGAGATAGGGAAGCCTCCAGTATCTGGGCTGAGTGAGGATGGGGGCCCTGTCCCCAGCCCCACCTGTTCCCCCTGTTCCCACCTGTTCCCCCATCACTGCTTAGCCTGACTCCCCCATAGCAGAGTCTTTGGTACCTGATGAGTAATTTTTACAACTTTTTATTTCAATGTAATTTTAGCCTCTGTGTGGGGTTAACAAAAATAGATTTTCTGGGAGCTCCTCATTTGGGATCCCCAATGGTAACTCTGGGTCATCGTGGTCGAAACCAGGCCTTGACCGACACAGCGCTATTCCCTGAACTGCAGACCCCCGTGGGTTTGCTCCGTCTTTCGCATGGCTGGATCTGCTTGGTGTTTTGTTTCTTTTTTTTTTGTCTTTTTCGTTTTTACCGGTACCAGGAATCGAACTCACGACTGCCTGCTTGCAAGGCAGGCGCTTATGCCGCTGAGCTAAATCCCCAGCCCCCGGTGTTTTGTTTCTGTTTTGGTGTGTGGTGCTATAAAATCCTGTCCCACAAAATGTAGCCCTGTGTGAGCACACATGCATGAGCACACATGCACGGGAAGAGGCCAAGCTTGGTGCTCCAAGGAGTTGGGGACTCTCACGCCTCCACTCCTAGCTGAGTGCCCTCTGTGTAAAGAGCAGAAGGCTCCAGGCTCATCTGTCCCCTCCCAGATTCTCTGCCGCCTCCCTGCTTGTCACCTGGGAATGCTTTTCTTGTTTTTTTTCCTCTGACCCTGAAATTTCCCTTCTCATTATGTGACCCTGGGACCACAGGGAGTGACAATATGTTAGTTTTTTTTAATCCATAAGAGAGTGGATTTTAATGTTTTTACCACAAAGAAGGTAAATCTGTGTGGTAATCCATGTTAATTAGCACCATTAAACTGCCCCCCCGTGTGTACAGGTTTCACAATGTCATATTGTACTGGATGAGTGTACGCAATCATTTTTGTCAAAAATGACATCTGGGCGTGGTGGCACATGCCTGTCATTTCAAAATCCTGGGAGGCTGAGGCAGGAAATTGCCAGTTTGAACTCAGCCTTGGCAACTTAGCAATGTAGTGAGGCCTTGTCTCAATAAAAAAGAAAGGTGGGAGGTAGCTCAGTGCAAAGGCCCTGGGCTCGATCATCAATACTTCGGAAAAAGACAAAACATAAATAAATGCACTTCTTTGCTTTCTGGACTCAGCGCCATCCTCTCCTTCCCAGGCCAAAGCCTCGTCCCACCTTCCTCTCCCTGCCGGGGCTCAGCGCCGTGGCCCGGAGCACCCTCTCAGTCTCTCCGGTCTGGGTGTGGGTAGGAGTGTGGAAGCCACACTTTTGGTCGTAACAGAAGTGCATCTCAAAGGAACCTGAGTGACAGGGGTCACCTACTGGTTCTTGTGAGTAGTGCGTGGTGGCACTGGCTCCAACCCGGATGGGACCGGCAGTGCAGTCCCTGCTACCCCAGGCTCGTGCGTCACCAGCTTGGTGATGGTAGGGGAGAGATTCTGTAAATAGCCCTGGCCGGGTGAGTCCCAGGAGGACGCGGGTGGGACGCTGGGCCATGTATTCATCCCTGGCCCAGTGCGGAGCCCACATGTAGTTATTGCTGTGGATCATCTTTACTTAAAGCACCCAGGACAGGTCTGTCCCAGGGACAGGAGGGGCTAACCCATGTCACCTGGGGTCGGTCCATCGTTGTGGTCATCCTGTGAAGGCAAGAGAGACTCCTAGGGTCCAGTGGCCACCCTGGCATGTCGTTTTTGGCTGGGCATGAGTGGAGGAAGGCGGCTTTCCTGTTTCTGCTGTCACTGTACAGCAGACTAACCCAGTGCTCCTTGGCTTAATCCATAGTTGATTGATTTTGCATGTGTTTGTTGTTGTTTTGGTACTGGGATTGAACTCAGGACCTCACACTTGCCAGGTAGCATTTATACCACCGAGCTAAACCCCTGGCCCCATTGCTGTTTTATTTATTTGCTTACGTGTCTGCAGTCTTGGCAGGGGTCTTGGTGACTTTTCTCTCCTTGCTGGGACACACAAAGTGAAGGAAGAGAGGTTTATTAGCTCACTGTTTGTGGAGGTTTCAGTCCGTGTTCAGCTGGCCCCAAGGCAGGATGGTGCGGCACTGGGGCACCACTTCAGGCAGCAGCCACAGCAAAAGCAGCCAGAACAAGAAGGGGGCAGAGCAAGCCTCTCTTCCTTGATTAGTAGTGCCACAGGCCACCCTCCCCCAGGCGGGTGCAGCACTCACACAATCTCTGTGCCCTCTTGCACAGCCAGGATGAGGATACTCCCTGCTGAGTCTTAGTTAATCTTCTAAACTTCACAAGTGACACATGTATCAACCCTAACACTGCTGTTTCTGTGGTCTTGGCTGGGCTCAGGGTCTGGAAGAGCTACTTTCTGCTCTCCCCCGAAGCAGCTGCAGTGGTTCAGCTGGTACAGAGGCTCTATTTGAAGTAAAGAGGGTCCATGGTGAACTAAACGGTACTTTAGCTTCTTTCTGTGTGCGCGTGTGAGCGTGTGCGTACTGAGACCTCTCACTTGTCAGGCAGGCAGTGTGCCGCTGAGCTGTATCCCTAGCCCTTGTATTTTAGCTTTTAAGACTTGGGGAAAAGATCATTGAGGTCCAGGTCAGCGGGCAGTCAAGCTTTAGCGCTGTTGAGAGCAGCAGCCCTGTCCTGTGTCTCCCTGTACCTCGGAGGCATTGCCATCGTGTGTGTCCTAGTTTAATGCTTTGTGCATTTTGGGAAGGGGTGAGAGGGAGCCCCAAGACGGCTGACTCCGGGGGCTCATGGATGGCGGCAAGTGCCCGGGCAGGCTGGTGGTCCTCTGTCCTGCAGGAGGAGGGGCCCCGAGCTCAGCTGGAGATCCAGGCTCAGCGGTGTCCCAGGTGTCCCCTGGACCCCGCCTGCAGGCATGCTGCTGTGTCTGGGGTGCGGGGAGCGCCGGCTTCTCACTGGCTTGTGCTTATTTCCTTTCAGTGGATATCATGGAAATCAAGGAAATTCGCCCAGGGAAGAACTCTAAGGACTTCGAGCGCGCAAAAGTGGTCCGCCAGAAGGAAGACTGCTGCTTCACCATCTTTTACGGCACCCATTTCGTCCTCAGCACACTCAGTTTGGCAAGTGGGTGCACGTTTGTCTGCCCTTCTCCCACTCAGTGCCTCGGTTTCCCCGGCAGAAGTTCTCTAGTGGTGGCAGCTGCTCATACATAGTACCTGCCCACCAACGTGCATTTGGGGCCTCATGGTTTTGAATCCCAGGCCTGCTGATGTCCTTGGGGCAAGTCGCTTGACCCTTCTGAGCCGCAGCTGCCCAGCCCTGATGTGGGGAGAGCGGTCACACCCGCTTCATTGGGACGCTGGGAGGAGCGGTGTCCGCTTGGCTCAGGTTGAGAGCTGAACAGGTGGTTGCAAGTGTGGTCAGTGCAGGCCAGGCTCTGCTGGGCAAAAACAAGTCCCTGGTTTCCTCCAGCAGATGCTGCACAGCAGACTTGCCCCTGAGCAGATAGAACTCTCTTGAGGTCTCATGTGTGCACACATGCACGCAGCACACGTATTCACGTGAGCACACATGACATGTATGCACGAGCTTTCTGCCTGTCCCTGAGATCCACCAGATGCAGGGGAGCCGTGAGAATGGGAGTGGGGGCAGCCCGGGGAGTCACTCGGGGGAGAAGCCTGCTCTGAACTGCTGAGTTCGAGGTGTGTCTGGGCTTCCCTGATGAGGAAAGATAAATCACAGTTTATCTGCTAGGGAAGAGCTCTATTGCCGAGCAGCAGCCCCTATATGCTAAGCAAGGTGCTCCGCTAGGTTGTAGACACAGTCAAGTGTAAGGGACAAAGGGCCCCAGCTGCTGTGGAGTTCACGATCGTGTGCCCAGGAAGTTAAGCACGCTGTGCCCGGTGTCTGGCTCTGGATGGGTGGCAGAGACGGAGTCTGGCTCTGGGTGGGGGCAGAGACGGAGTGGGGAGGGGACCCTGTGATCGTGACCCTTAGCAGCTCTGGCCTCATGGCCCCCCAACCCCCGCAGGCTGAGCCCTGGCTGTTGCTGTTGAAGGAAACCACAGAAGCCCCGGGCTGGGACCGGGATGCCAGCTTGGTGTCAGGCCCACCTGAGGGTCCTGTTAGAGCCCAGAGTTCAAGGCTTGGGTTCAGATCGCAGCTTCTCACTTACCGCTACAGGGTTAACGGCCCATCTGAGCCTCAGTTTCCTCCTCCTCCCTGTGGGACAGAGGAGAGCACAGTGTGAGGCTGCGGTACTCACAGGTGGTGGTGGTGAGGGGTCTGACGGGAACACGGGCGCAGGCAGGTGTGCTGGCCGGACTGCATCCAACTTCCTCCTCTCCGAGGCCGCGTTGGTGGCCGCCCTCTTGTCATCTCCTTACAGCAGTAGCATCGTCTCCCTCCCCTTTCCCGGCCTCCCCTGGCCCAGGGAATGCAGAGGGCCTCTCAGGATTGCTGTGCCAGTGCTCTCAGGGGCTCCCTGGTGAGCCACCTCCTAACAGCACTCCCAGCCTTGAAGGCACCCACAGACTCGGCAGCGATGAGAGCAGCAGCCCCATGGCCAGCCACCTGACATGTGGACTTTGGGAGCCATGTAGGTGTGAACCGTATCATCTGGCAACCAATTACAGACTCTAAGCCTGGAGTTTATGGCAGTGTGTTGTGACCACAGAGGATACCAAGTCTGGGGAAACCCAGCTGGGAATTTTCCTGCTCTGTCCTCTGACTTAACGTCCTTGGATGGGGGTGGGATAGGTACTAAGACCCCTGGTGACTCTCCTGAGACACTGGAGCTGGGACCCTGCTCTAGCCGAGTCCTGGCCGAATCCCAGCCTCTCTGCTCATGGATGGTTGTGCAGTCCTGATGGCCACAGTGGGGCTCCTGTCTAAGTCCTGGGCTGGTCCCTGTCTCAGGTTGCTTTAGCTGCTGTAACGAAATGCCCCAGCCCAGGTGGCTTCAACAGCAGACATTCACTTTCGTGTGGTTCTGGAGGTTGCTGGGGTTTTGGGGAAGCCCTTTCGTGGGGTTCAAGAACAAGATCCCCTCCTATGTGCTTATGCAGCCTTCTCTGGGCATTTGGGTGGGGAGGGAGTGAGATTCTCTCTTCTTCCTCCTGAGAAGGGCACTAATCACTTGGTGGGGCCCCACCCCATGACCTCATCTGAAACTCCAGCTCCAAAAACTGTGCCACTGTGGTTAGGGTTTCAGCCTGTGAATTCAGGCCATAGCAGCCACTTGCAAGCAGAGATCTTCCCAGCGTAAACAGTGCTTCCCTTCCCACCCCCTCTCCAGCTGACTCCAGAGAGGATGCAGTTAGGTGGCTCTCTGGCCTGAAAATCTTGCACCAAGAAGCGATGAGTGCGTCCACGCCCACCATCATTGAGAGGTACTTGGCTCTGCCTGTCTGTCCGTATCCGGGCCTTCCCCAGGCTCCCTGAATGCTGTGTATGCAGTGGTGCCTAATAGTGGCTTTGGTCACTCTGCAATATGAGTGTCTGGTCCCAGTCTGTATCCTGACCTTCGGGTGACACTGCCTTGAAACTGAGTTGGGAACAACCATTGGTGCTGTCAGGGGACAGAAGGGCTCAGTGAGCGGCGTCAGAGTCAGGGCCTGGACCTGCTCTCGGTCACTTCCTCCTGGTCAGTGAAGGCCTTCTTGGTCTGCCTCATCAGTGTCATGGGGACTCTGGAGGGACTCTGCGAGTGACCCTCCCCCGGCAAAGCAAGGCCTCCAACAGCACCATTTTTCCTTACCAGCTTTTTGTGATTATTGATGTCATCAGAGGGGGCTGTCACCTTACAGGGACCCAGCGTGTCCTCATGGGAGGACCCCCTAAGGCTCAGGCAGGGGTCTTCAGCCGCAGGGCACCTGCTCCCCTGGGTGGCCTTGGGGGAAAGGTGGAAGACCCTTTTGTCCCCAGCCCACAGACTTCCTGAGACCTGTGTTGTTTTTTTAACTTTATTTCTCTTTCTCTCTCTCTTTCTTTTGGGTCTCAAATGTCTTTCCAGTTGGCTGAGAAAGCAGATTTATTCTGTAGATCAAACCAGGAGGAACAGGTAAGAGCCCTTCACAGTGCTGCCGTTGGCATTGCCCTCGGGGTTCCAGCTGTCTGTCACAGTTGCAGGGTTGGGAGCAGGTTCTGTGGCAGGCGGGGTCCGGGGGTCAGGTCTGACCTGTGCAGCGCCAGGCCAGCTGCGTGCTCGGGGCTGGGGCTCCACAGGACACTCGCTCTGCATGGGCGGGGGAAGCTCTGCAGTCTGATGGAAAAATCACATCCAACTGCAGAGAGATGCCTTGCCCCTGGGCACTTGGGCCTCGTCACAGACGTGTGAGGACTTTCCAAGTCCCGGGAACACACAGGACACATGATTGCCGTGGTGCTACATTTTGTGGCAGGAGAGACCAACCACAGAGGAGAGAACTGAGCTGAATGGCGGTGGTAGAAGAGCTGGGCAGAAACTGATGTTGATGTGGGACATGGCACTCTGTCCCCCGGCCAGTGTCTTGTGCCCTGGTTCCCCTAGAACTTGGGCAATGCTCTGTGTCAGATCTTCTCTCCCTCCATTCCGTCCTCCCTCCCTGTCCCCTCCTCTTCTTCCTCAGTCCTGGGCATCCAACCTGGGCCTTTCCACTGAGCCACATCCTCGGGCCCTTTTATTTTTTATTTTGAGACAGAGCCTCATTAAGTCACTGAGTTGCCCAGTCTGGATTTGAACCTGCGATCCTCCTGCCTCAGCCTCCCAGGGTGCTGGGACTGCAGGTCTACACCACCACATCTGGCCCTGTTTTCTTTAACAAATAGAGGGATCCGGTTTTCCCTTGGGCGCGATGACTGCAGCGAGGTCCTGGAGGCCGTTTCCTTGCTGTTACTGTGGACAGCACTGCTGCGAGTCCCTCGAGGCTGCTCCGTCAGGCTCCTGTGGGTGGATGTGACAGTGCAGGCGCAGTGTGGATGACCTCGTGTCACCATGGCGCCCGCTCCCGCCCTGGGTAGTCAGGCGGATGAAGACAGCCGTTCCTAGCTGCGTTCCTCTCTCTAGGGGAGGCCGACCATCCTGGTCTCCATTTTCCTCTCCCTGGGGATCCTGGTCCTGTTGTCAGTAATAACGAGGTGCCGGTTGAGCCCTTTGCCTGCTGCAGGGGCCCTGACTGGGCACCTCACACGCTTGATCTTCAAAGGAGTTTGTTTCTTTCGTGTTTTCTTGGTGTAGATGCCTCTGTGTCCCCCTTTTGTTCCTGCAAGACCCTACCTCTTCAGGAAGCCTTGTGTCTGGCCGCGTTGCCTGGCCTTTGTTGATGGCAGGCTTGGGGTGGCCCCTGTTGGGGGGACAGTTGACCACGGGGTTGGGAGCTGTGGCCCCATTGCGTGTCTCTGCTCTTCTGGAGAGTGCCCCTGTTCCCTGGTGTCCACTCCCTGGGCCACCCGCTGGGGTTGGGAGGGGTGCAGAGCGGTCCCCCAGGGGCAGGGCCTGTCCACACCACTGCCTTGGAGCCCTTCCCTTCTCTGTGGCTTACGTGAGTCACCCTGGAGGACAGCCCAGGGTGACAGAGGAGCCCAGCCAGCCATGGATGCCCCCACAGTGGTGGCACCAGGTTGTGCAGCTGACACTGGACTTTAGTGTCTGGAACACACTGCTCTCACCCAGGGCGGATCCTTCAGGTCCTGCGTAGTCACCTTCCTGTCTAAGGTCCGGGGCCTTGTTAGGGGGGACACTCCATCCTGGATATGGTCCCTGGCCAGCTGCGTGCTGTGTCCCTGCTCCCTTCCAATGCCCGAGCCCTGCTGTTCCATCAGCACATGGAAAATCCCGTGTTGCCCAGAGAGGGTTTTTCAAAAGGAGCTTTGACCAAGGTGCCTGCGAAAGAGCGACAGACGTCAGCCCTGCCGCTTCCCTCCCTTTCCTGTCGCCCACATCAGGTTGGCTAATGTGTTTCCTGAGGGGAAACCTGGGGGCCGGTGAGGGAGGGCTGGGGCCAAGGGAAGCAGGTGCCTCGCTGGCCCAGTGGGTGGCCCCGTCCCAGGGGCTCTGCCGGCTCCAGCCCCGCTTCCTTAGGCCGTTGGTGGAGAATGGTTTGCAGGCCCGCCCTGAGCTCCTCACAATCGTGTGATGCCCTGGGCCAACTGCCCGTTTTCTAAGTGGGCTCAGTGAGGCCCAGAGAAGTTCAGTCATGAATCTAAAGCAACCCAGCTCGTTAGGGCTGGCGCCAGGGTTTTCGGCTGATTATCAAGCCTTGATTTACTTAGTTTTGAAATTACACTTTGCTATTAGAAGCTAAGGATACCTGAATGTCAGAAAACAATTAAAAAGGAACAGGATGTAGGCCTGTCCTGCTAGGGAAGCAAAAAGGGTATAGTCGATGCAAACACATTTTATTTTGCCAAAACTGATTTTTTTTTTTATTGTTTAAAGATGTAGGAGAAAAGAGCACCTTTCAATTTGTTTTTGCCAAATATATATGTACATATCCGACAGTTAAAAACAAAACTAGGGAAATGCAGAAATCTCTCCTTTCTCACACTCACAAAAAACTAATGAATTAAAACATCTCCTGGTAGAATCGTATAGCGAATGACGTTTCGGGGTGCAGCCACGTTTCGGGGTGCAGCGCTGTGGCATCATCACCACCGTGCAGCTTAGAGCTCGCTTGTCCTCCCCAGGTCGGGCTCTGCACCCTTCTTTACTTAGGAGCCATGGTTCTCTGTCTTTCTGAACTTGGTTCTCTTAGGCACCCCGTGTCAGCGGGGCAAGTCTGCACACTGAGGGCGAGGTCTTCAGGTTCAGCTGTGGTGTGTGTTGGGGTTGTGGGAAAATCCCCAAGCTGAGCCGAACCAAATCAAACCAAGGACAGACTCAGAAGGCAGCGTTTCATGTTTATGCCAGCGGACTGTTGCGGGATAACTTCAAAGGCAACAGCCTGCATTTGGGGAAAGTTTAGTGTCTATAGAATTTAGAAGTGGGGGGAACAAAGCCAGTGACAAACTGTTACATAATTGGTTACATACATTGAGTCCTACATTGACAGGCAGGCTGGTCTTGAAACAACAGAAACACTCCAGGAACAAGGGGGCCCTCACACAGTGAGCAGAGCCAGGGCATCGCTGTGATGTGGGAGCAGTCTGCCGAGGGGACTAACCCCTTGGATTAGCCTGGGGTGCCTCAAGGTATGGGCCATTACTCTGACCCGGTGCTCGGCAGAGGGGTGCAGCTGGCTGCAGACACCATCAAGGTGGACTGAATTCAGCCGACACAGAAACTCTAATTGGTCATGAAATATCCCCAAGTTTGCATGTCATGAGTGTGTTCCTAAATTATAATTGTGCCCCAGCATGAGAACTTCCTTCCTCTGTGAACTCACAGCGCTGTGAGCACCCAGCATGCCGTGTGTGTCCATTGGCCTCTGATGGACACCTCGTGGCTTCCTCTTCTCAACTCAGATAGAAATTCTTCATTCTTCTCTGCTTCTGGCCACCTTCAGTGTCCCTGGCTCCAGCTGCCGGCTGCTCGGGACAACGATGAAGCTGGGTGTTCCCAGCTACTTTGTACCAGCTCAGCACTGTCTACCCAAGATAAAATCCAAATATGCTACCCAGAATAGGCTTTAGGAGCAGCATAAGGGGGGGCAGCCCATAGGCTGACCTGCAGCTGCTTACATAGGAGAAAAGGTCGGCTCACACACGTGCAGAGTCCGACTTGGGTTCAGAGGTAGGGGAGGCTCCCCTGTGAGTGCTGCAGTGGGTGCTCAGGGTTTGTCCATATTTGAGGCTTAGTACAGCTGTGGGGGCCTGGATAGCTGCGCTGGCTGCACGGCATTTGGGGCACCTGTAGAAGAAATATTAAATTGCCTCTTGGGGAGCCTGGGCCCTTCTCTCCTGGCACCCCAAGGCATGCAGTACTGAATTCGCACAAGCAGAACATGTCCTTTCTCCTGCAGCCTTGCAGGGACAGAGGCGCCTGGATTGGGCCTCAAGGGAGGAGGTGGGGAGGGCCTTGCAGTGGGAGCCAGGCACGGGCCCATTCATGTCCTGCCTGCAGAGGGGTGTCCTGTGGTTAGTCGCTGAGGCTCTAGCGCAGAGGTCACGTGGGGAGGGGGTTTAGTCACAGTTCTGCAGGTCCCTTGTCCTGGATGTGACCTCGAGTGGGAAATGTGAACGAAAAAGTTTACTGTGAAGCCAGGTGGAGAGAGAGGGCCCCCTAGAGGGGGATTTGAAATGTGTGTGTTAGCACTCAGGGCGCAGGCTCTGTGTCCTTGGTGTGTGATTCCATGGTTCTGGGCTGGGCTGAAGAGTTTGCATTTCTGCTGCTGTTGGTCCGGGAACGACTTAGAGAATCAGGACTCTGCAGCCACCCTGTCCAGTACCAGAGGCACTGACCCCGTGTGGCTAAAGTGTGTTAGTGAACGTTAAACCAAGTTAACAAATCAGTTTCTCCGTCGCAGTAGCCTCATTGGGCCAGTGAGAGCACGGGTGCAGAACCTTCCCAGCTACTGGTAGTGCCAAAGTTTGAACCTCAGGTCTAACACTGCTCTTGTGATTCGGGACAAATGATTTCATTTCCTGTGCCTCAGGTTTTTCCTCTGTGAGGAGAGATAAGAGTTCTTATGTCATACCCAGGGTTGGCTGTGAGGATCCGGTGAGTTACTATGGAAAAGTGTGTGGACAGCACCTGGTTTGTAGCACACATTCAACGTTAAATGTGTTTTTTTGGCACTAACAGAAAAACTGGGCACGGGTGGAAGGGTTAGTTTTATGTCAGGGTGGCAGATAAAGTTTCAGGGGCTGCCAGCTTGGCTCCCTTGGTAATGCTGCTTGGGTGCAGTGTGAAGGATTCTGGGAAGTGGCCAGACTGTAAAGGAAAGCACATCATGATTGTTTAGTGATGTCTGCTGTGGATGGAAGGGACCAGGGGTGAAGGGGGAAGTGCATATTAATTGTTTGGTGATGTCTGCCATGGAAGAGGGTGGGACTGATTGTCATGGAAATTTTTGCCCTCCTTCCCTAAAGGGATCGCCCTGCTTTCAGGTTGCACTCTAGGAAATAGATGACCATTTTGGAATTTGATTCCAACCCAGCTCTGCTATGCCCCTGAGGTGTGTGCCATGACCCATGTGTTCTGACCCCAGTGCCACACACTTTGGGGGCAGGATTGGGGAGCCTGGAACAGTGCAGGGTGGCACATGGCAGGGGCTCGAGGGGGCTCTCTGCTCCTTTCCCTGCCCCTGACCTGTGCGTGTTCCCTGAGCCGACACCTGATGCTGTTCTGCCTGTGCTGGACCCTCTGCAGAACCTGCCTCTGTGGCTGTCCTAGGTTATGAGTGTGTCCCCTTATCCCTGAAGGCTGTGGATTCCTAGCCACGTGTAAGATGGAAATCAAACATGGGCTGCCCCTTGAGCCTCCTGGTGACCTTCAGTGTGGTCCTCTTTCTTCTTCTGGGCCTGTGAACCGGAGGGTCCTTGGATGAGCTTCCGAGATGTTACCCACTGGCTGGAGGTTCTTCCTCAGTCTGTATAGTGAACTGGCGAAGTGTAGCTTTACTGTGTTAACTGCTCTGAACCTCGGGCGCCCGTGCTGATGAGCTCTTTCAGCATTAGTGGCTGCCATGCTGCTTAGACACAGCCGCTGCCAGCAAGTCTTGGGACACCTTCCAGCCACTGGCGTGGTGGCTTCCAACAATTTTCATCATCATCTGTCATTCTCTGGCCGCTAGCTGCCTTCAGTGTGACCAGCTTGGCCACTGGCCACTTCTGGTGCCAGGGCTTAGGGTAGCAGTTCTTAGTGTGCCAGCTCAGTCTGCTGTACCTGAGAATAGAGATCAGGAATAGGCGGGAACATCCAGAAGAGATCTTGCTAGGGACTAGGCTGCAGCATAAGGAGGAGCAGCCCATGGGGTGAAGCTGCTAAGGGAAAGAGCTTATACATGAAACAAGGGTGGGCCAGGCGTGGTGGGGCAAGCCTATAATCTCAGCACTCAGGAGGCAGGAGGATCATTGCAAGTTCGAGACCAGCCTGGGCTACAAAGTGAGCTCAAGGCCAACCTGAGCTGCATAGTGACACCCTGTCTCAAAAAGACCCCCCACTAAAAAGGTGTGGGACCCTCTATGGGCAGAGCCAGACATTCTGTGTGCTCATGGGCAGAGGAGCGCCCCCTTGTGGACCTAGTTGAGCAGGGCTGCAGGAGCAGGGAGTCACGCTGAGATCTGCAGAAGGCAGCGGTCTGGGTGGTCGGGGCTGAAACCTGCCAGAGCTGAAGCAGGTGCTCCTGAAGTCGCTGTGGGGCGAGCTGCAAGGGGTTCAGGCAGTCGTGAAGGAAAAGTCTTTCTCGAGGAGCCCTGGACCCTGTACCCTGCCTTGCCCTCCCCGTTGGTCACTGAGTGTTCTGACCTTGGTTGGTGCCCCATAACAGCTGGCAGCCAGGGGTTTTCCTGGAAAGACGCTGGGTCAGAAGCCAGTGCCACTGCCTGTACCCTGTCCTGCTGAACCCCTAAGATTGATGGAGATGCTTTCTGTCTCTCACAGCATCAGCCTCCGAGAGCTGAAGGCCATCTTACCCCTGGTCAACTTCAAAGTGAGCAGTGCGAAGTTCCTCAAAGATAAGTTCACGGTAAGTCTGTAGCTCAGCCTGGGCATGTTATGATTTTGGGGCTACTTGGCAGCTCTGCCCTGAACCCACGGAGGCTTTGGAGCTCTGTGGAGTGGTGCCCAAGGCTCCTTTGCATCTGGAGTGTGTCTGTCCCGTCCAGCTGGCGAGGTCTGGTATGTCAGGACTGTGTTCCCTGTCCCCCGGATGATGCAGTCCTAGAAGACTGTTTTCTGGACTGTTTAAGTTGGACCATCTGACCTTAGACCTGTTTCCCCCAGGCCGTCTCTCAGGGCTCCCCAACCTCCCACAGCCTGCTTCTTCCTTGAGGCTTGGGGTTCCCGGGAGGGAGGGCTCTGCATGCGAGTGCCGGCAGGGTGCGCTCGCCAGGGCGGGCTCTCCTCCACCTCTTCTCCTCCTTACCCACCTGTGTTCCCGAGCATCGTGGAATCTGTGGATGTTCTTACATCGTCAGGCTGTTGGAGCAGGGCAGGGAAGCCGCTCCAGGAGCAGTGCATAGAGAGCAGTAGTGTGCCTTTTCCGGAGGAGCCCGGGATGGATGGAGGTCTGCGCCAGCCCTCTGGCCTGGGGTGCCTCTGCTGGCAAAGGTCATTTCTTTCTGTACTCGTGAGCTGCTGAGAGAGTCCACCCATTTCACTGCCAGCAGGGCCATCTCCTCACCTGCCCCCAAGCCTCCCTGCTGATTCCCCTGGGAAAGAGATGGGAGGGGTTTAGGAAGAGGAGGAAGAGGGGACAAGCATTTCCCTTGATCATTGTAAGGGGGATATTATTCTTTAGCAAGCACTTCTGGAGTCAGGCATTTTGTAGGTATTGTTTAATTTCAAGAAGGCCCCAAGAGGCTGGCCACTTTACAGATGAAGAAATCAAGATTCCAAAACTGTGAACTGCCCAACGCAGTTGATTCTAGCTGAGCTCTGACGGCTGATTAAGTCAGAGTTTTTCAGTTTTGTTTTTTACTTTAAAAAAATACTTTTTAAGTACATACTTTACAAACACATCTGGATATAAAAATCTGAAGACAGTGTCTCCTGCTCAGAGGAGTTGTCCATGGTGACTTTTGAAAGTGAAGAATTTTCCCTCTCAGGGCTCAAGGATGCGGGTCCCTGGGTGGTCTCTCAGACAGGCGAGTTGGGAAGCTTGTAGGAAGCTTTGCTCTAGAGGAGCCCAGGTTTGATTTTAGCAGAGTAACAGAATAGCCATTCTGCTTCTATGAACTGACCGGAGGCATGTTCATGGCGGACTTCCAACATTATGTGGTCTTTTTTTTTTTTTTTTTTATGTATTCACAGGAAATTGGTGCACACAAAGATGAGCTCAGCTTTGAACAGTTTCATCTCTTCTATAAAAAACTTATGTTTGAGCAGCAAAAACTGGTAAGAGGCTTCTTGAACAAACAATCAGATGATGTTCTGTTTTCCTGTATGGCAGATCCTGGTGCTTATCTGGGAGACCCCAAGGAGTGTGTCATCTCCTCTAACACACCACTCCATTTATAGTGGGGCAAAGGTGTTCTCACCTTGGAGAGCCGTGGGGAAGTGGAGGCCGAGGAATATGAATGCCCATAGAAGATGCTAGCAGCTTTCTGTGGGGTCTCACTCAGGAGGGAAGTGTAGCAAATTATTCCTGGTAGCCATCTCCAGATTGAGAGATTTTGTGTGTTTTTGCCTTTTATGATTTTCATATTTTTATGAAGACTTTTGATTAACTAGATTATTTTGAAATTAAAACGCACATACATTTTCATCTGAAGGTGGCATTGCAGGCCTGCCAAAGATGTATTTGTATTTCACTCCGTACTTTATATTATACTTCTCTTAAAAGTGTGTTTTAGCGGGAGGGAGTTTTGCAACCCCTTGAACTTGGGGAAAATACAGCCATTTGCAAGATTCCCCCCGCCGCCTAGTGGCCAGAATGTCACATTGCATCTATATCTGGCTGGCCTTGGCCTATTCAGTGGTTTAAATGTTTTCAGAATTAACAGCCTACATGTAAAATTTGGGAGACTGTATATTGAAATCCAGGTTTTTGGCTTCTTTGGAAAGAATGGAAATCTGGCTATAAACGGGCCTTGTTCCCCTGGTGAAGTCTCATAGATGGAAGTGCATGCTATCTTGGTAGCCCTGGCCCCGCCTGCTGATTTGCACTCTCCACGGCTGTGCAGAAGTTTCAAGCTGGCCATGATCTCCACATACCAGGATCTAACGCTGCCTCCTGTGCCTCAGTAGCCTAGAATTTGAACAGCAAAGCCCCAACATGCCCAACTTGTTTCTGGTCAGCTGAGGCTCCACCTTGATCCTGTGGGGTCAGCGCTCGTCCCCTAACTCCTGAGCTCCCTATTGAAGTGGGCAAAAGAGCATTAGTCTCGAGGTGGGGCAGGTGAGTTGGATTTCTCTGGTGTCTTGGAAGAAGGCATTTGTCTGCGTTACTTTTCTCTCATTGCTGAGACAAAATACTCAACACCCACAGATAATAGGATAAAGGTTATTTCGCTAACAGTTTGTAGAGGTTTCAGTCCGTAATCTGCTGAGTCCAAGGCAGGGTGGCACTTGGCAGAGCAGAAACAGTTCATGGCGGCAGAAGACAGCAAAATCAAGGACCAAACTGTAACAGTGTCTTTCTGCCCCTTTTATGCTCTGTTCAGTCTACTGGCCTTAGGGAGGTGCCTATCTGATCAGTAACTGATCCAGCAAGCAGCCTTCTGCTCCCCAGGATCTGCTTCTCTCCCCTCTTCTTCCCCAAGCTGCTGTTTTCCAGGGTCTGGATTCTAAATCTCAGAGAGGCTGAGCTGTTGTTGCCTACCATGCTCCCCACCAGTTTCCCAGAACGGTCTTCACGACCTGGCTTTTCCAAATAGCAAGGCAGGGCTGAGTGAGGCTTCGGAATAATATAAAGAAATGAGGACAGACGCAAAAAGAGATGAATGTGACGTGATAAACCGGGACAAGATGTAGCTGAGTGCCTGTCCACAAACAGGCCTCTCGCAGAGCCTAGCAAAGTATTAAGAGCGGCTGTATCCCAGGAATCAGACTGAGAAGGGCGCAGGGGACACCTGCCCTCACACCGGAAGTCTCTGTTACATTGGACTATTCACCGCTCACAGGAACAATGTTGGTAACTGTCTGATGAGCAGGTCTCCTCACCACTTTACTTGGCTTGTCTAATATTCTTATTTTGTGTGTGTTTTCCATTTCAGATTCTTGACGAATTTAAGAAGGATTCCTCTGTGTTCATCCTGGGGTGAGGACCCTTCTGGCTGCTGCCTTCAGGACGACCGTGTTCTGTGACCAGTGGCCTCCGGGTGGGGCTATCTGTGGCCTCCACAGGGACACAGTCCTGAGCCTGGGTTGGGGTCTGGGACGGCAGCACCGGGCTGCAGAGTGCTGGGGGTCCTCAGGGTTCAGGGCTCAGGGTCTCCTTCCTGACCTCGGACCTGGGCTTGAGTTTACGGGTTTCTCCCCAGCACGCTGGTGTGAATGGCGCGGCTGTGTGGGCTGAGCTGGGTGGGGGGTGCTGGGTACCTGCAGTGCTCCCTGAAGAGCTCAGCCTGTGGTGCACTGTGGTATTTTGAGCCAGTGCTGCAGGGTTTTTCAGGCCCTGTCCTAGGCTTCCAGATCCCAGGTCAGGGATTATAAGGGGCTTGTGTCTTCCAAGCCTGTCTGACCAGGAGATAGGTTTGCCATGGAGTTAGTGGCACTAAGGGCGTGGCTGTGGCACTTAGACCGAGTCCATGCTGTCACTTTCCAAAGCCTGTAGCAGAGGAGTGTGACAGTGCAGATGAGAAGCGTGGTGTGAGATACCACGCTGGTTGGGAGGGGACAGAAAGGGCTTGGGAGGAAGACAGGGACTGCAGGCCTGCCTGGTCAGCAGAGGCTGGAAGCTGCGGGCAGCCTTTCACTCCTTGGCTGGCTTAAAGCATCTCCTGCCGTGCTCCGGGCAGTGTCCCATCCCGGGCAGCTCCGTCCTGCAGGATGCAGGCCCCTGGGTACCACGTGCCTCATGCCAGTCTAGCAAGGTCCTGGCATCCTGCAGAGTCCTCCCCAGGTGGCACCTGGCCCAGCAGCAGGTCTGGCCAGTATTAGAGACAGAGCTCTGCTGGAGGGGAGGAGGCTGCTGACACTGGGCGGTGTCCTGCATGCTGCAGTGATGACCCCGTCCTCAGAGGCTCGGCAGAAGCCGGGTCTTACCTGGGGCGGGGCTTCTCCCCTCCCTCTTCTTCTCCCTCCGCCCCTCCCCCTTGTTCTCCTCCCGCTCCCAGCCCTTTCCCTTTGTCCCCAGCTCGCTCTTCCCCCTTGTTGGCCTCTGCTATTTTCCAGGATTAAGCACCCCCTCTCTAGAAGCCTCCCTGGCTCTCCAGGTCTGGCGTGGAGCCCCTGGCCGCTCCCCAGTGCTGCTGCTTGCTGTCCTGGTCCCTGCCTTGTTCCTTCCGCAGACCTCAGACAGGGCCAGGGCCCCCAACCCCCTCCCCCCATTCAAGCTTCAGGGCCCTGCCAATCCTTTGGGCGGAACCTGTGTCTCTGCGTGGCCACATGGGCCGTTTGGAACCTGCAGAGGGTGGGGGTGTTCGGGATCGAGGACCCTCTGGGGAACGCACCCCTCATGGGTCCCCTTTCCTTATGTACAGGAACACTGACCGGCCCGATGGCTCTGCAGTCTACCTGCAGGACTTCCAGAGGTTTCTCATTCATGAGCAGCAGGTGAGAGGCCCCGTGGGCCTGGCCCCTGCCGTCCTGGGGCAGCCCAGGCCTCCCTGACGCGGGGTCAGTCGTCACAAGCCACTGTGCTGTCTGAGACCCTGCATTACTCTGTCAAAGCCCCAGAAGGGGAGGAGTGGGCACTGTCCCTAGACAGTCCCAGGAAGGGGTCCCTTCCTGGGAAGCCTCCCTGCTCACGGAGAGTGGGACTCTGCTGCTGACCCTTCTGGGTCCTCTGCGATGAGACAGCACGGCTGTCCTCAAGCGACTTGGGGACCATCTCCCTGGACAGGAAGTGCCCCTGGGCTCCAGGGCCTGAGGAGTTTTGTGTGGGTGCTGGTGTCTACCAGCATGACGTCCTGCAAAGACACTAGGCAGTTGTCACACGGGTGCACCCAGCATCTTGAGGGCAGAGGGAAGGCGGCACCCCATCCCCCACCCCTGCGCAGGACCCATTCCCCTATTCCCCTTGTCTGTGATGTGGTGGAGGAGATATGTGGCCTTGGACAGCTAGTTTAACCGTTCTGTCCCCAGTTTCTTCCCTCTGAAATGTGACCAGAGACCCCGCCTCTCAGAATTGGGGGTGGGAGGGGGGTTGGAGAAGACAGCAGTACTTGACTGTGTACACAGAAGCTTACTGTATTTAAAATTAGTCTTCAGCCGGGTGTGGTGGCTCACGTCTCTAATCCCAGCGCCAGGGAGGCTGAGGCAGGAGGGTCTCTGCTAGTTTGAGACCAGCCTGGGTTACAAAGTGAGCCCAAGGCCAGCCTGAGCTGCACAGTGACACTGTCTCAAAAAGACCCCCTCCCCCCCAAAAAAAGTCTTCGAATCATTAGAGCCTCAGTAACTTTTTCCTCATTTACTACCTTTTCATTTTTAAGACTGTCAGCTGGGTGTCTGGTGCATGGCAATAATCATAGTACCCGGGGAGGCTGAGGCAGGAGGCTCATAAGTTTGAGTGCAGGCTGGGTAACCTGGGGAAACCCCATTTGAAAAAAAAAAAGGTTGAGTGTAGCTGAGCGCAGAGGCTCTGGGTTCAGTTCCCAGTACTGTCCCACCGGTCGCACACGCACATGCCCACACAACTTTACATTTAACACCAGTTTTAGTTTGATACAAAATTAAGTAATTAGTTTAAAAAACCCCGTTGCTGTCCATTTCAGACACCGAAGTGGCCAGGCGGGGTCGTCAGGCCCGTGTAAGTCACCAGAATTAGAGAGAGGGCAGTAGAAAGCAGGCGGTTTCTCCCCACTTTACCCCCAGCCGGGCTCTTCCAGCTCCCCGCCCCCTTCCTGCCCCGGAGGAGTCTAATGAGCCCGGGGCCGGTCCCTTCTGCTCAGACTCTTCAGTCTGTCCTGGCTGGGGATGGCGGTGCACTCCTGCCCACCCGCAGGGGGACGGCGTCTCCAGCGCGTGGTCCCAGCTGAGGTCCGGGCTGCAGAGAAAGTCGCTGGCAGCTGGGGAGGAGGAGCGGGGCTGCGGGAGCGTCCTGGGGGCGCTGCGATTAGGGACTGATGGGCTCCGCCTGGCGGTCCCAGGAGCTGCCTTTCCTGCTCCCGCTGCGCGCTCCTGTGCAGGGAACCCTGTTTGCAGGTCGCCTTCCTGGAAACAAGCAACTTGACTCAAGTCGTGGTGCCACCTAGCGGCAGTCAACTTTATTCTAGGGAGACTCAGCCCCCCACCCGCACTGACCCCTGATGGGGGCCCTTAGAGGCCAGGTCGTGCGGCCCGAGTAAAGCCCGGGCAGCCCCTGAACATCTCTCTGGCCTTTGGGGTGATGGGTGCGCGTGGGGGATGGCCATCACAGCGCTTGGTCTGCAGATTAATTAGTACAACTTTTTTAGAAAGCGCCGTGGCTGTGTACGGTTAAAACGAAAACTTCATGAAAACACGCATGTGCTTTGCTTAAGTGGTGGCTCTGCAGCCCGGCACGGTGGCCCGCGCCTGTCATCTCAGCATTCTGGGAGGTTGAGGCAGGAGCATACATATTTGAGCCCCACCTGGAAAACTTGGTGGCTTGGTGAGACCCTATTTAAAAATAAACCCCGCCGGAGATGTAGCTCAGCGTGAAGGCCCAGAGTTCAGGCCCTGATACTGCAAAAGTGACTAGAGAAACAGATTAAAAAATAAAAAGCCACCCATCCAAACCGAAAACAAAATCCGGAGCTTGCGGCTGCCCTGTAAGCACCGTTTCCAAGGCAGTGAGGGCAGCACGACAACAGTCTGGGCTTCCAGGCCACGCTGCACGCACCACACACAGTCCCGGTGGTGAGTGAGGCCGCGAAAGCTAAGGGACAGTCCTGGGGCCAAGAGTATTGGCACCAAGGGAGCATTGGTCAAAGTTGGGTGTGTGTGTCTTAGGGTACCCATGTTGCCTAAGGATATTTGGGGTTTTGGGTATAGAGAAGAAAATAATGAAGTCACTTTGTTATGTGTTCCTTACTGCTAAGAGCTTCCAGAATTTTTGATGCTATGTAGAGGCCACTTTGGAAATCTCTCAGTGAGCAGCATCAGTTGGCTGACCCCTTGCAAAGAAGGCCTTTTTATTTTTGCACTAGCCTTTGCCCTGGGCTACATTCCTATTTTTTTATTTTGAAAAAAAGTAAACTAAGTCACCAAGGATGGGTTCGAACTTGTGACCCTCCTTGCCTCAGCCTCCCAGAGTGATCTGATTACAAGCATGCACAACCATGCCTTGGCTACAAGAGAGCATTTGATTAGATTTGAGGTCTGTTTTCCATGGTGCAGTTACTGGGAGCTCTGACTCCACTACTCAAGAGCTCTGTGAGCTTGGGGTCTTACGTGGTGTCCTGTGGCTCTGTGTCCTCATCTCTAAAATGACAGTGACAATGCATGACTTAGAGTTGATGGCAGGAGGAGGATTGTTCACACACAGGATCCTCACCATCGCGGTGGTGAGGAGAGGCCAGGCGCGTGACCTGGCGGGCCAGCGTGACCACTGTCTTCTCTGGTCCTTCATGCAGATGTCATGAGCTGGTACAGGACGGTGTTGGCAAACCATAGCCCCTGGCTCCAGGAAGCCACTGCTTGTGCTTTTTATTTTTAAGGGAATAAAATCAAGCAAAATAAAACAGAATAAAGTCAAGACAAAATAGTGAATGCGATACAGGACTTCAAAACAAAGTAACAGGAAATCAACACTGGCTGCCATAACACATCTTGTTATCTGCCCATACCACCAGACACAGTAGAATCAAATAGAACAAAACCAGTCCAAACAAAACAATGAAAACAATGCAGGACTTTAGACCAATATAATGGGAAATCAACAATGGCTACCATAATACATCTTGTTATAATCTTTGAAATAGCTGCCCATGCCATCAGATACAATAAAATCAAACCAAACAAAGCAGAATCAAACCAATCCAGATAAAACAATGAGAATACAAGACTTTAGAAGAAAGTAATGAGGAATTAACAGCGGCTGCCACCTTCCCTTTTGAGCTGTCTCTGCCCTTTCACTTTCGCACCATCTGTTGTAGAGTGAGGACCCCACCAGCTCCTTCAGCTTTTATGCTAGGGAGTCAGCACGATGCTCACCTGTGAGTCAGAACCATTTCACCCAAGAGCGTGATCGCAAGTTGCATCCATTTACCTACAAGAGCCTCATGATTATTTTCATAGCTGGGTAGCTTTCCATTGTATAAACATGCCGTATTTTTCTTACCCATTCTGCCGTTGATGGGCAAGCTACCCCTTCGTTTTTCTGGTTCCCTGTCACATGGAGCATTGTTTTCTCTCCTTTGACTTTCAATCTATGAATTTCCTTTTGAGTTAATGTGTTTCTTGAATACGACTATTGATGGATCTTGATTTGTGATGTCTCTCTTTATTGGTGAATTGAGGCCATCTGCGTTAATGGGTGCAGCCAGCATGCACTGGTTTGTCTCTGCTGTTTTTTTCTGCCGTTGACTCCCTACTTTTCCCTTCGTCTACTCCGCTTGGTGACCCCACTTTGGTGCTGTTCCTGGGACCACAGTCACTTTGATCTCTCTAGAATGTTCTTCAGTACTCTTTGTAGGGTTGGTTTGGTGGTCATGATTTCCTTCAGTTCTTTGTCATGGAAGCATCTTATTTTTCCATTAATTTTGAAAGATAGTTTTGCAGGGTAGATCAATCTGGGATGGAAGCTGTTTTCTTTCAGGATTTGAAACACTTTACTCCAAGCTCTTCTTGACTTGATGGTCTGTGTCAAGAAGTCTGCTGTATTGGGGCTGGGGATTTAGCTCAGTGGCATAAGCACCTGCCTTACAAGCAGACAGTCGTGAGTTTGATCCCCGGTACCAATTTAAAAAAAAAAAAAAGTTTGCTGTGATTCTGATGGGTTTCCCTTTATAGGTGATCTATTTCTTTTCTCTAACAGCCTTTAATATACTATTTTTGTGTTGAATTTCTGGGATCTTGAATGTTAATTCTGAGTATAGATTTATTTTGGTTATGGCTAGCTGGAATTATGTATGCCTCACTTACCTGAATGTCAGGTCCCTTTCTCATGCTTAGGAAGTTCTCTGCTATTATTCTGTAAGTAGTCAATGCCATGTGTGTTGACTCCTGCTTTTTCACTGACAGCTATCATTCTTAAATTATTTTTCTTTGCATCATCTGGCAACCATTGAATCATTTCCTGGTTCCTTGTTATTTTTGTGTTTTTTAAAACCAGGAATCAAATTTAGGACTTTGTGCTTGCCAGGCAGGCACTTACATGGCTGAGCTAATCCCCGGCATTTCTTGTTATTTTTAAGAGATCTTTCCTTTTGTGGTTACTAGCTGCCATTTGGTCTTCAAAGTCTGAAAGTCTATCTTCAGTTTCTTTCAAGTGATTTTGCTAGCTTTCAGTGGAGTTATTCATTTCCTCAATGGCTCTTTAAGTCCATTTCACGCATTCCAATTCTTCTCTGTATTCATTCAAGGTTTCCCTCATTTTCCTATGCGTCTCCCCCCACCCCCCCACCCCGTGCCGGGGATTGAACTCACGACCTCAAGTTTGCCAAGCAGGCACTTACGCTGCTGAGCTAACTCGGGCTGCTCCTCTTTTTTTAATCTATGTCTTCTTTAGACATGCTCAGCAACCCTTTGTTCTGTTTGTGATTTCTTCTCTTACCTGACATACTATTTCTGCTCTGGTGTCTTTCACAGCCTCATGGAATAGTTTCTTTACTTCAGTTGCCCTCATCCCAGAAGTTCAGGTGTGCGACTTCCGCTTTCTTCCATGTCCATGTCTCCTGCTCTGTTTGGCTGGAGGCCAGAGATGGCCTTTTGCTCGTTCATCTTGACATTTTCCTGGGTTCCTCTGGACAAGAAGGTTGTGGTTCCCAAGCACTTCCCCTGTTGGCTACCAGTCCACAGTGCAGGGGGATGGGTTTCTCCTAACCCAGGTTCCTTAGGAGGTGGTGGTGTGCAGGGTGGGCTTCTCCAGGGCGTGGCTTGCACTGGCTACCCGAGGGACAGTCCTGATGGCAGCTGGTACGCACGCTAGTCTGGCTGCTTTACCACTATCTGTAAATCAAGTTTCACTGGAACACAGCCGTGGCCTCTGCCCACCTCTTGTCATGGTGGCTTTGGCGCTACAATGCAGGGATGCGTGGTTGCAGAGATGCTCACTCTCTGTCCACTGCAGGAAGCATTTGCTGATCTCAGAGGCCTGGGATGAGGCCTCTGTACATGGTGTTTGGTGCCCAGTGAACTCAGAATTAACTGACAGGTTGGATTCTGGGGGATGAATTTTGTTTGTTCTCTTTGGTGATTTCTTTCTGTCTCTCTCTTCTTTTTTTTTTGTCTTTTTCAGGAGCTTTGGGCTCAGGATCTAAACAAAGTCCGGGAGCGGATGACAAAGTTTATTGACGACACCATGAGGGAGACGGCTGAACCCTTCTTGTTTGTAGATGAGGTGAGCGCTGGGCTCTTGTCCTAACAGCGCAGCTTTGCACTTCTGAGATTGATTTCCTGCTGTTCCTTGGAGGGCTTTGCAGTCAGAGGCCCCAGCAGGGGAGGTTTTCCAGATCTTAGATCTTCCCCATCTGGCATTTTCTTCTCCCTTGATCACCCTTCTGGAGTGGGGTTATAGATTTTGCCAGTAGAGGGCGCTAGCCAGCAGGGAGCAAGGAGTTTGTGCACAGAGAGTGCTCCCAGGGGCGGTGGATGTGGCTGCACCAGACCTGGTTGGGATGGTTCTTGGAGGATCAGGATGGAGAGCAGTGAGGACCCCTCCCCATGGGAGGCTGCTCTCAGGCAGCAGGACGTGGCTCCAGGTTCCCCAGGATGTTCATTTTCTACCACAAAGGAGCTGGCAGTTGGGGTGGGGAGTTTCCAGCCTAGGCTCTGTGCTTGGGGCCATGCCCTGCTGCTTCTGTGGGTGACACCGTTACTGTCCCGATGGAAACTTCTGTACAGGAAGCGGATACTCCACAGTGTCAGATTTTGGGGATAAGCATAGGAAAGGGAAGGACTGAGCACCCTGAGATCCTGGGTCACCGAGGCCAGGCGGCCATCTCTGGTGCTGCCCCCTCCCCTGCAGCTCAGAGCAGCCGTCTCTGCCGTGGCCACCACGCTCCCGCCTGTGACTCTTTCAGTTCCTCACGTACCTGTTTTCCCGAGAAAACAGCATCTGGGACGCAAAGCACGACGTGGTCGACATGCAGGACATGAACAACCCCCTGTCCCACTACTGGATCTCCTCGTCCCACAACACGTGAGTCTCCTTATGGGGGCAGTGAGAGCCCACACCTCTCACCCTGGAGGACACAGAAGTTCTGGAAGGGGCAGGACACAGCTTCTTCTCCCAGGAAGTGGTGGAATAAAAGTCCTCTGTGACCCTGAAAAGAAAGTCCGTCTGCTTGCTTCTTTAGAGACGGGCATCTCGTGGGGCCGTGGCAAAGCAACTGAATGGCCGTGGAAGTGAGGTTCATGGCGTGCCTGCCATGGATGTAGTAGTGACTGAGGCTCTCCTGAGAGTCCTGCAGGAGAGGGGCTGGTGACAGAAAAATAGGGTGAAGTGGGAGGGAAGCTTTAGATAGAGGAGCAATGGTGCAAAGGCCCTGGGGCAGGAACAGCCATGGGGAGCCTGTGAGGCTGGATGCCAGCACAGAGGGAGGAGGCTGCAGGGCTGGCATGGGTCGGAGCTTGCATGTCACAGTGAGGACAATGAGGAGCTACTGCCAGCTTTTAAACTTGGAGACCACACTCAGAGCCACCTCTTCGGATATCAGTGATTGCAAAATAGAGGACAGACGAGAGGAGAGAAGACGCTCCACTCAGATTCTGATACTTAGTCCCACTTCTGGGGACGAGTGGCTGTGGGGGTGTGCCCCTAGTGTCCTTGGGGCGCTGGGGGCTGTAGAAGGCCCTTGGCAAGTTGCCCTGAGTGTCTGGGCAGGTAAAATGTTTTCCGGGAACAGATTGATCTCACAGTTCTGTGCTCCTTGCCATGTCCATCATTGCAAGAGTTTGTGGCCTGAGGTGGTGGACGCTGCCCAACCTCAAAGGGCTTAAGGAAGCTGACACAAAGGGGCTCGGGGAAGAGGCGAACGCAGGAACAGAAATGTGCACATGCGCAGTAAACCCCACCTGCAGTTGTTGGGTGCCTGTTATGGCCTGTGTCTAAATGTCCCCCCTGGCCTCATGTGCTCACAAGAAGGCTCTTTGGAGGCAGCTGGATCTAGGGAGTGAGTGTGGATTAAAACAGTGTTGCTGGAGTTAAGCTGCGTGGTACTGAATTAGTCCCCAGGTTGGAATTAGCGTAGTTCTGAGTGGTACCACTCAGAAGCCAAGCAGACTGGATGGAACTGGAAGGGACCGCAGGAAGGCAGGCTTGCTGCTATCTGCTGCTTGCTGCCTGCTACCTTCCATGCCATGAGCTGGGTTGACTCTGCCATGTCCCTCTGCTGTGCCCCCTACCTATGGACTGAAACCTCTACAAACTGGGAGCTAAATAAACCTTTCCTGCTTTAAATAGTAAGTGTCAGCTATCTTGTCCCAGCAATGAGAAAAGCAGCTAAGATGGTGCCTTTCCGTGCTGGCCTCAGGCCCCACTAGCACAAGCCAAGCCTATCTGCTCCTGCTGCAGGCGCGTTCACTTATCACCCATCATCTTCACTCTCGACCACTTTGCCTGAGTTTTGCTAGAGAGAGTACACCTTCCCAAGCCCACATCTGGGTGGCCAGGATGGCCGCTGGGCTCATCCTGAGGGGGTCTATGACTATCATGGCCATAGGATTGCAGTGTGAGATACAGATCGTAGCCCGAGGTGTTTCTGAGCAGGAAGAACTCAAACCCTGGGAGCCGGGGCTATGAAGTCCCCCTGGCTGCCCTGAGGTACAGGGCCACCTCCACATGCTGCCACCTGGCCTGTTTCCTCAGGTACCTCACAGGTGACCAGCTGCGCAGCGAGTCGTCCCCAGAAGCGTATGTGCGCTGCCTGCGTATGGGCTGCCGCTGCATTGAGCGTGAGTAGCTGGGGATAGTGCGGCAAATAGACGTGGGGTTCTGGAGCTGCTTGGCCCAAAAGGCGGGACAGGCTGTGGGAAACACGGTCCCAGAAGCATCTGGGCTGAGAGATATGGCCACGGACTTCCCCTGAAGACAGCCGTCCCTGGGGCGAGGAGTATGAGCATCTGAGGAGGCTGCCTTGTTTCCCCTAGTGGACTGCTGGGATGGGCCCGACGGGAAGCCCATCATCTACCACGGCTGGACACGGACCACCAAGATCAAGTTTGATGATGTCGTGCAGGCCATCAGAGACCACGCCTTTGTCACCTCGAGGTCAGCTGACTGATTTCCAGGTGTTTCATAGGACAGCAGCTAAGGTTGGGCAGACAGACAGACACATGTCACCTCCCCGCTCCCCAGAACACTAGAGCCCTGGACACCATCTCATCCAGAGGCATTGCCCAGGGCTGGCTCTCTGTGGCCTCTGTGGCGCAACAGTGGCCTTTAAGTACTGCTGAGAGTACCCAGCAGCCTGGGTTCTGGGCTCACTCCCCCGAGTTTGAGCCCAGCTCTGTTAATTCCCAGTGCTGTGCTGCAGTGAAGTCCAGTTGGGGTGACGTCCTGAGTGCTTAGCACCTGGTAGATAATAAGTGGGAGCTAAGCCCTGGGGTGCATGGCCCTCCCTAGACAGCTGGACGACCCCACCCCTGAGCTGTGCTGTGGCTCAGGCGGGACACAGGGACAGCGCCTGCCCGACCCCAGCTGCCCCGCCCTTCTGCTGCAGCTTCCCCGTGATCCTGTCCATCGAGGAGCACTGCAGCGTGGAGCAGCAGCGGCACATGGCCAGGGTGTTCAAGGAGGTGCTTGGCGACCTATTGCTGACCAAGCCCACGGAGGCCAGCGCTGACCAGCTGCCTTCCCCTAGCCAGCTTCGGGAGAAGATCATCATCAAGGTAGGGGGCTGGCTCTAGGCCTGCTTCCTTACAGACCCCGGGGCCATGGGTGCAGCTTCTATGTCCTCTCTGTCTCAGGAGAATACTACCAGGTGCCATGGAAGGAATACTTACATTTTTAAACTTTAAAAAATTTTTTATTGGGGCTGGGGATTTAGCTCAGCAGCATAAGCGCCTGCCTTGCAAGCAGGCAATCGTGAGTTCAATCCCTGGTACCAATTAAAAAAAATTTATTTTATTTTATTTTTTTAATGTGTTAAAATAATTTAATTTTCCTGTACATTTCTGTCCACATGAGAAGTCAAGACAGGCACTTTACAATATTTACCTCGTTAGAGACATTCAAGTCAATTCAGATGGCAAAAATAGAATTCAGTTGCTAGTGAAATGTTTAAAAAATATATATTAAACAACATGTGTCTTTATAAAATAAAAAATAATCTTCCATGATGCAATAAATTGCAAATCACTGAAATTTTAACTCTTAGGTGACTTCAGTTCAGTTTTTGGTTTTTAAATCTGGACACAGAAAAAAAGTATTGGCAGAATTTCTGTTTTTACGTTCTTCTTTCTTGCTTTGACTAATGGTTACGCTGTTTATAGATGATGGTAGAGGTGCTCCTGCCTGACTTGTAGCCTTGAGATGGGCAAAAAGTTTATTCCAGGGTGGAAACTCACTATGGCGGATTTCACAGCGGATACCATCACTCTGGATTTGTGGTTTAGCAGATACTTTGACAGATTTCTTTCATGTCTTTGGTTTTCTTTCCTTTGGGTTTCCGAATACTCAGCTTTACTTTCTGGATCATCACATGGTCCGATGGTCTCTGTGACACTGACATTTTCCAGAAGATTATCTTCCAATTTTTGGCATTGTCTTGATGTAAGCTAGTATCTTCTGGGTCACCCTTTTCTCCCCCAGTTTTACTTTCCTGGAAACTGTCATCATAGTTCTGTGCTGGCTTCTGTCTCTTTTTCTTGTTTTTTAGAAAGCTTTTGTTTTGGAACCTCTTCCATTGCTTCCTCAGAATTGGCATTCAATAGGTTTCATCTACTTGAGGTCCTAAAAAACTCTCTTCTCCCCCAGCTGTTGTTCCAACAAGGCACCCATCTCCTCGTGCTTGTTTGACCTTTCATGATTCTTTATGGCCTTTCTGTCTTGAAGGGTTTGTCACATGCTGGGCAGTAAGGATCATCATAAAACCCGACTTCCTTGGCCTCGGCACTGCCTTTGTCATCGCGTCTGTGTTTGAGCTCACGTTCCTCTTTTTTATTTTCATCTGAGCCATCTCCAGACTCCTTTTCCTACCGTGCCTCCGTCTCCTGGTGCTCCTCTTCCTCCTCCTCCATCCTGGCTGTGGTCATGCAGCCCTGTTCTCTGCACCGCTCCGCCAGTTTGGCCTGGCTCCTGACCTTCCCAGCAGTCCGTTCCTCAGCAAGCTTCCGATAAGCCTGCACGCTCTCGTGTCTTTTATGAACAAAAGCTACCACCTGACGTCCCATCAGGCCCTCCTTTCAGTAAGACCTCTCTGATTACTGTGCCATGCTCTTTCCTGAGGGTCATACGACACATCTTGTGCTGCTTGGATTAGTTTAAGCTGTTCAGCTGCTGCAGCAGCAGCATCCAGATTTTTATTTCAAAGGGAATAGGCAATCTTCCCCCAGGGAAGACACCCAGTCAGAACTGCTGGTGTGAAGAATCAGGTCCAAATTGAAGCACAGAGCTCGAGTGACTGCCCGGGTGCCATCTCAGGGCCAGTTTCCCACAGCCTTCTTCAGGTCCTCCCCGCTGGCATCACACCACACCCTCATAGTGACACTTCATCGCTGGGCTGGGTGCAGGGTTGCAGCTGGGCCTGGGCTGAGCCCTCCTCCTGAGGAAGCCCAGTGCCTGCACCTGGACAGCCAGCGAGTGCGGTGGCAGAGGTAGTGGCGGCTGCATAGCTTTACATTTTTCTAGACATTACACTAAAAGACACATCGCCATTCATCCCCCCTCAAAACAGTCCCTCTCATTTTGAACTCAGTTAACCCATCATTCCTGCCACTTTCTGTAACTCTTCTGGAAGTTCTATGAGTATCCTTATGAGGTCTGATCAAAAATACGGTGAATACTGCTGCCAAGTCAGAAGGCTCCTGAAAACATGACAGTGTGCCCTCATCCTCCTCCTTTCTTTCTTGATTTTTTTGAGACAGGGTCTTACTATGCAGTTCAGGCAGACCTTGAGCTCACTTTGTGGCCCAGGCTGGTCTTGAGCTCACGGCGATCCTCCTGCCTTGGCCTCCTGAGTGCTGGGATTACAGGTGTGCCCCACTACACCAGCTCCTTTTCCTTGTTCACTAGATCTGGCACTGCCTCTTTGGGCCCTTCTCCAAAGTCACAATAACCATGAAAGATAAAGGTTTTCAATTAGTTCAGGCCATCAAGGCAGCCAGGACAGCACAGCTAAACCCATGAAAGAGGACTTGCACGACTGCTTCAGACAGTGGCGAGAACAATGGGATGTCGTGTGTGTGTGTGTGTGTGTGTGTGTGTGTAGCAGGGGAAGTGTTTTGGGGGTTGGTTAATGGCAGTGTGGCTTTTACTGTCATAACCCTGTTAGTTGTTTTCCATCATACCGTGTCTAGAGCCTGCCTTGTCGGCTTGGCTGTGGGCACATGCTCCAAGTGGCACCCTGCTCTCTGCGGTGGGGCACTGGATTTACTAAAGCACAACTGTTGGTTTATTTCAGGCACATTTTCACCATGTACCTTGGTGCTCCTGTCCTTGGTAGTTCCCCGGCTAAGGTTCATGAGCCGCAATGGGGTGGTAGGGCTGGTGTCCCCATGCTATGGGGGAGATATCTGATTGTGTCAGGGCTCAGGGCAAGCAAAGGAACAACGGGGAATTCATATTATCAGGATGAAGAGACCAGAGATGCAGGGTTTGTAAATGTGAACTTAGGCAATGTCCCAGGACCTTTGAGCTCTGGCCCTTGGGTGATTCAGGGCTCTGGGGTCCTCACGTCCTGCTGTACCATCTTCCAAGGCAGGGGTTTCAATTGGGGTCCCTCAGATCTCAAAGATTAGAATTTGTGGGCTGGGGATGTGAGCCTCAGTGGGACAAGGCTTGCATCTTGTCTTCATTAAGCTGCGTGTGAAACCTAACGTTCCCTTCCATCGCGGGTGCTGGCAGCAGGTGGGGGGCCAGCAGCGAAGTCGGGGAGATTTTCCTGTCACACTGACAGTATTTCAAAATGATGCTGTGCTCATCAGGACTTGGGAATTAGGAAGGTTTTTAGATCTGCCTCTGAATCTTATTTCAGATGCTAATGAGGAAGCACAGCCATTAGCATATTTCTCTAATGCTATTTAATCTCAGTAATCAGATTTCAGTATAACTGACTTCCCCCATCATTGTATGAATGGCCGACTGTCTGAGGAGGGAAAGCTCCCAGCCTGTAGGGTTCCCTAGATTTCACAGCACAGGGATGGCGGGGACTGTCTGCTCTAGAGCACTGTCCTTGTCTGGGGTGAAGCTGGGCTCGGGCACCCTGAGTTCCAGTTTGCGGGAGGGGCATCCTGGGCTGTCTAGGGCCAGTCGTTTCCGGTGAGCAAGTGGACACCAGATGTTTGTGTCCCTTCCGTGGCCTATTGTGAGAGCTCAGTCACAGGACCTGCCATGGAGTCTGAAGTATTGAGCTGTGGCCATTTGGGGAAGGACCCGCATGGCTGCAGTGGACAGCTGCAGTGGGCCTGTAGGGGTGGGTAGACAGGTTCTTGCAGGTGTGGCTTGGTCATCATCACACCTGTTGGGGCTGCTGTAACAAAATACCATTAGCAGGCGGTTTACCCACTAGCAGCTGATTTCCTACCACTCTGGTGGCTGGCAAGTTCTGGGTCCTGTGCCAGTATGAGGGCCTCTTCTGGGTATAGGCCACCACTACTCACGGTGTCCCCACATGGAGGGAGGGGTGATGGCGCTCTCTGGGGCCTCTGCAGAGCTCGACCCCACACAGGTCTGTATCCATAGCCTACTCACTTCCCAGAAAACCCCCCCTAACGATATTCCCCAGGAGAAGAGGTTGCATATGTGATTTTGAGGGTACACAAACATGTCAACTCCAGCAGCAGTCAGAGAAGGGAGTGCTGTTTCAGGTTAAAGATCCCACATAGAGGCTGTGGTGGTCATAGCACATGGCCCATGCCCTGCGGGTCACTGGGCCACCAGGGTCCACTGGAAAAATTGTGTGATCCAGGAGATAGTGACCTTATGGGGAGATGTCACCAGAGAAACAGCAGACAGTGGGAGTGGGCCTTGGCCAAGCCCACAGAGAAGGGGTGTTGGTACTCAGCGGGTAAGGGCATCAGCCTGTGGGGAGAGTCTGGGCAAAGGTTCCCAGCTCCTGGGACAGGTCCCTGTGAGAGGCAGGGACACTCTCTGCAAGGGGAGGGCAGGGTGGGCCAAGAGCTGGGCTGCGGGTGCCTGGGGCCTGCAGGCCTTGGCCCACAAAGCTTCAGGGCGCCTTGGCGGCCTTCACTCCACTTCCAGCTGGCCCGTGGCTTCCTGTTTCCGTTCTGCCTCTCCTCTTCCTGTTCCAGCAGAGGGTGGCAATGGCAAGTATCAGAGTAACCCTGGGTGGCACGTGCACCGGGTGAGGTGCAAGTGTAACATTTCTTAGTGTCCCTATTACACTGTAGGACAGATGCCCCCACCCTGGCCCGAGGGCACTTCACAAATGTGGACACTGAGGCTTAGAGGTTAAACAGCTCAGCTGAGGTCACACCGTTCCCAAAGAAGAGTCTCCCCAGTGTGTCTGCCTCTGAGGACTGTGTGCCCCATGTGTGCTACCGTGCCATCCCCAGCAGGACATATGGGTCTGTAGCAGTTTTTGCACTTGTCACACCTTGGTTTATGGGCTCCAGGGCGACTGTCATAACCCTCTTCTCAAGGGAGGTCACTGAGATTTGTATTGTCACTTGGCTCTGAATTCGAGCCCAGGTCCTACTCCTAGGCCCAAGTTCCTTCTCCCAGGGCTCTGTCTCTCCTACTCCTCAGTGCTTGCTGAGGCGGTGCCAGCTGTCACTGGGGCCAGTGTTGGCATCACTGCTTATTGTGCAGGTGAGGTACATGAGGCTTAGAAAGCGTAGCTGCCTGCCCAGGGCCACACAGCACACACGGCAAAATAGGGCTGTTGTGTGGAACCCCATGCGTCTGCTGCCGCCCTTTCTGGTCTGATTCTCCTGGGCCTGCTGCGTGCCTGCTGAGCACTCACCATCTGCCAGGCGCTGCCCTGGCACAGCCACTCAGCAGGAGAAAAGCAAAGGCCCTGCCTTGCTGGGGCTCAGGGTCAGGCAGAGAAGACCGAAGACAGACAGGTAAAGCAGGGCTGGGCTGAGAGCTGCAGGGCCGGGAAGGTGGCTCGGTGGCTGCCCTGGGTGGCAGGGAGAGCTCCTCAGAGGAGGCGGCCAGGTGCAGGGCCCAGGGCAGAGAGAGGGGAGCCAGGCAGAGGGAGCGGTGGAGCGAAGGTGCCGAGGTGCAGAGTGCGCTGGATGCTGGGCACTGGCGATACCCTGCATTCCTGCAGGCTGGAAGATCCTGAAACTTGGGTTTCAAGAGAGGCCTGTGTGCGTTTTTTCCTTAGCATAAGAAGCTGGGCCCCCGAGGCGACGTGGATGTGAACATGGAGGACAAGAAAGACGAGCACAAGCAGCAGGGTGAACTGTACATGTGGGACTCCATCGACCAGGTGGGCCGGTCCCTCCCTCACCCCTCAGACCCTGCGGGAGCCAGGCGAGCTGTCTCCAAATTCACCTTTCTCTTCTGCACGCTTAGTGTCACTCTGAAACAGTTCTGTGGGCACCGTAACAGGCACTCGCACCCATGCCGTGTCCCCCACAGGGACTCCCATAGGTCCTCCACCCGCTTCCCCCGACAGGGCCACCCTCTGTGGCCATGGCAGAGCCACCATCAGAGGAGTTGGCAGTGTGCACTCCCGTGAGCAGGAGACAGGCCTCCTTCCCATCTCACAGCTTTGCTAATGCCGTTTTTCCAGGCTGACTACCACGTGCGTTTAGTTTCCCAGGCTCACTGGTGACTCCCAGCCTGGCAGAGCTCACCTGAAATCTTAGTTTTTGAGGAGAGAAAGGCATCCCCACCTCTACTCCCTTCTCCTGTCCCTTAGGCTGGCATGCAAATCTAGTTGAGTATATGTTTACATCTTGGGTAAAACATATAACAATGAAACATACGCAAAAATGGTTAACTAGGTTATAATTAAATGTTTCAGGAAGAGTCTTTGACGCCAACTGGCTGAAAAATTCAGAAAGTCTTTAAAAAGCAGATGAAATAGAAAAAGACAGGAAGGTGCTGCAAATAATCTCACTTTTCATAAAGGGCCACTATAGAGAACCTTTCCTGTCCTGGTCATGGCCCAGGAAGGTTTATATGTGTCATCCCATGGAGCAGTTACTAGAAGTATAGTGAGTGAATTCCAATCAATCACTCCAGTGCAACCCATGGTGAGAATAAAGACACTGAGACATGGACACAGTTGTGGGGAGCCAAGGGGTCCTAAGCCCAGACAAGATGGGGTTCACCGGAACAAAAGCCTTGACCCAGAGCCCCTCTTCCTGGTTTTATTCTCCATGAGGGGCGTGGCTCAGGGACGGGTGACGGTGAGAGTGGAGGGAATACGTGACTGCCATGACTACTGTGAGCTGAGCTAGGCAGGAGGGCTGAGATCACCTCTGCAAGAAATGCAGAGAGAGCAGCTGCACAACGTCTGAGGTAGTTTCTAACAGCCTGGGTCGGTGCTTCAGTTCTGATGCACAGTCCTGTTTGTCCTGGGTAGTTACAGCCTCTTTCTCGAGGCCCAGTCCCAGCTGACAGTGTGGAGCACGGCTTCCCATCCTGCCCAGCTCAGCCACAGATCTGGGGAGTCACTGGCAGGGTGACACTGACCTGTCACTTTGCTTCAGAGGTGACACATCAGCTCCTCAGCCAGCCCCATTTACATTGCTTAAAGTGATAAGAAATAGCCCAACCAGCTCTGTGCATATCAACACACAGAGACAGGGCCAGGTTTACCCAAAATGGAGACAGTTGCTCTTTTTTTCAAGGTGAGTCAAGGAGGGTCACCTGGGTGGTTCTCCACAGGCTGCAGGTTGCATATGCAGTAGAAATTCAGAATTAAGTTGTGTCTGCTGCTGCACCCACTGATTTTAAAAGTCCTGAAAGGTCAAAAGAAGCCAGCAATAAAATCTTTTATAAGGAGAAATGGCTCAAGGGGAACAGAATCCACGAAATCTCGCTAAGTGCATCAGCTGGGAGAGGGGACGCCCAGTGCATGTTGGGGTGATGCCCTGCGGGATCCCTGGTCCCAAGCTGACGTAGCTGACTTTGGGGGATGCTAATGCCAGCTTTGCTCTCTAGAAATGGACTCGGCACTACTGTGCCATTGCCGACGCCAAGCTGTCCTTCAGTGACGACATTGAGCAAGCCATGGAGGAGGAACTGCCCCAGGTAAGAGGAGACCAGCTGCTCTTGCCTCAATAAGCTGCCTGTCCTGGGGCCGACATCTCCTGCATGGCTTCTCCATCCTGAGGCCAGTTGGTGAATGGGGGGATCCTGAGCCCTAACTGCTGCCTCTTTGGGCACCAGGGCCTGGCCAGCTCTTCTCTAATTGGCTGACCACTCCTGGTGCCCAACCAATAAGATTCAAGGCCCCTTCCTGCAAGGTGTTAGCCTGTGTAGCCCCGGGAAGCCAGGGTCACGTGGGTGTGTGCTGTAACCTCACTGTCTGCCTTGGGCCCCGGCTTTCCTGCCCTGTCCCCTCCAGACATTGGCCATCTTCAGTGCACGGCATGGCTCTCTGAGTTCCTATAGGCTAGCACTGAGGTCTCTGTTGGGGACCCGTGGTCCATGGAGGTCAGGGAATCTCAGGGGTCCAGGAGGCCCCTGCAATAGCTGCTGTCTGGAGAAGGGAGTGGGCAGGGGAAGCAGTACAGCCCTCAGGAGCCCCCGTCTGACTGGCCCAGGACGTCCCACCCACGGAGCTGCATCTGGGGGAGAAATGGTTCCACAAGAAGATGGAGAAGAGGACGAGTGCGGAGAGGCTGCTGCAGGAGTACTGTGCTGAGGCGGGAGCCAAGGATGGCACCTTCCTGGTGCGGGAGAGCGAGAGCCACCCAGATGCCTATACCTTGTCCTTCTGGTAATGCCCTCCTGCCCCAGGGCCGGCTGGGGAATGGGTGGCAGGTAGGGTAGTGCCCACCTGGCCACCCCCGGCTGGGCCCCAGTGACAGCCCTGTCGTGCAGGCGGTCGGGCCGCGTGCAGCACTGCCTGATCCGCTCCACCGTGGAGAACGGGGCCGTGAAGTACTACCTGACCGACAACCTCAGGTTCGGCAGCATCTACGACCTCATCCAGCACTACCGAGAGTCACACCTGCGCTGCGCCGAGTTCGAGCTGCGGCTCACCGACCCGGTGCCCAACCCCAACCCGCACGAGTCCAAGCCGTACGTCCTGGGCTGGGTGGGAGGCGGATGCCCAGGTGGTCATGTGCCCGGACCTTGTCCTGACCATGGTCCACCGGAGGCTGAGAGCTCCCGGGAGGCCGTGGCTTTGGCTGCCTCTCCCCCTTCTGTCCTCCCTGCTGCCCCCTGGCTTTGATCTTGTGGTCCCCACGTCTCCAGCTTTGACTCTCCGAGTTTAGTGTTGGCCCTGTGCTGTCCTCCTGCCTGTCCACGCCGCTTCTTGTTAGAGGATGAGGAAGAGAAAAGGCTGGCAGGAGAGGGTCCTGCATTTCTTCATGTAGAGCATCGTTATGCTTGGCAAACACATTGTGGCAACGAAGAAATCACTTTTAACTGGATCGTTAAAGTCTGTGTTTTGAAAGAAGCCAAATGAGTCAGAGCAACTGTTTTATATTTTCCTTTTTCTATATGGATTGATAAAAATGTGCTATTTTACATCAGAAATAACTAAAAACAGCAACAAAAAAGCCTCCCAAATTCACGTGTATTCACCTGATTTTCCCAGAGGGGGAGCAGCCCCTGGGAGTGGCTGTGGGGCGAGGATAAGTGGGTTTGTTCCCCGCCCTCTGCCCAGGTCCACTCGGCCTCCAAGGGTCTTTGCAGAATCACAGTTTGTGGAAGGGACCATGGCGGGGCGGGTCCATGTGAGGCTCCTGTGGCTTTCTGGGGCCACATCCTGGTTCTCCCCAGAGCCCACGGTTTGGCTCTGCAGTGGCCACCGACAGCCTCGAGGGCTCTTACCTGGCCCTTCTGCTGCCCGGTACAGGTGGTACTATGATGGGCTGAGCCGTGGAGAGGCAGAGGACATGCTGATGAGGATCCCTCGAGATGGAGCCTTTCTCATCCGGAAGCGGGAAAAGAAGCAGGAAGGGATGGAGGACTCCTATGCCATCACCTTCAGGTAGGCGCTGGGGGACACGCGCTTGCCAGGGCAGGGTGGGAAGGACGTGTGTGAGCCCAAGGGCTGAGCTTTGGGCATCAGCAGTGTGACCACAGCGGTGAGTTCCAGACACACACAGCGGTGTTCTGTGCCAGCTCCTGTCACCTTCGGCAGCTCTGGGGCATTTACATTACCTGTGCTTTTCCAAGCTGGAAACTGAGGTATGGTGGGGAGGAGCAGTTTGCAGAAACACACAGCGGAGGCTGGGTTTGAACCCATTTGATTTTCAGTCTGTGAACTTCTTTTTGGATGAGATGAGTTTCTTGAATACACCAGACTGTTAGATTCTTTGACGCAGTCTGCCCACCTGTGTCTTTTAACTTGGGGAGTTGAGACCATTTACATGGAGAGTTGTTACTGAGAAGTAATTTGCTCCTGTCACTGTGTTCTTCTTCTGTTGATGTCATGTACTTCTTGCTTCACTATTTGTCTTGCTGCATTCATTCCGTCTGATGGTTTTTGGTTGTGTTGGCTTGACTGTCTGTGTCTAGGATACTTGAATATTTTGAGTCCTAGTTTGGTATTTATGTATCTCTTCAGTTCTTGTCATGGAATGTCCTTATTTCTGCATCAAGCTTTTTTTTTTTTTTTTGGTACCAAGGCTCAAACTCACAACTTCGTGTGTGCCAAACAGGCACTTGTGCCACTGAGCTAAACCCCCAGCCCTCTGCATTAATTTTGAAAAGATAATTTTGCAGGATATTAATCAGGATTGGAAGTTTTAGAGCTGGAAACACTTCACTCCAAGCTCACCAGACTTTAAAATTTGTGTTGAGAAGTCTGCTATATTCTTGATTGGTATACTTATACACGATGTTCTGCTTTTCTTTGATAGCTTTTAAAATTCTGTCTTTTGACAGGTATGCTAGCACATGTCTATAATCCCAGCACTTGGGTGAGACAGGAGGGTCACCAAAAGTTTAAGGCCAGCCTGCACTACTGGCAAGACCCTGTCTCAAATAAACAGGAACGATTCTGGGGTTGCTATTGTTGTTGGACATTTTGGATTTTGAGTACAATGTGTTATGTGCAGCTTTTTTTCTTCATAATTAATTGGTATTCTGTAAGCCTTACCTGTAAGCTGAAACGTTTCCTCAATACTTGGAACATTTCATCATGATTTCTTTTTTTTTCTTAATGGTACTTTTTTTTTTTTTGAAGGGAGTAAAGCAGAGCAGTAAAATGAAACAAAACAGTAACAGGGAACTCCCCCATCATTACTATATATCACATGCTGTTCTCCTCTGGTTGCCCAGACCACTGGCCCTGGGCCAGCAAAGTTGATCAAACAACATAAATGTCAGGCTGCCTGCCCACTCCGGTTATCATCGTCTCAGCCGGGTGTCCTGTCCGGATGCTCACAGTGGCAGGGGCAGGGAGGGGGCTTGCTGGCTGCTTCTCCCCAGCCTTGAGGGCCCGCCTGAGCACCCGGGGAGGCCGCACGGCTTCCTTGCCACTTCTCCCCGGCCGACAGGGCCTCGAGCCGCACATGGGGATGGGACCGTATTTCTTCCTTACTGCTGTTCCCCAGCAGCCAGCCGGGCCTGAAATTGCACCCAGGCGTGAGGGCCACCTCCTCCTTACTGCTGCTGCCTGGTGAAGGCAGGTCCTCTGCTGGTGAGCCTATTATGATTTCTATAGAGTTTGTATTCTGTGTGTCGTCTTCTAATAATGCTTAGTCTTTTGTAGCTGTGGGCAGTTTTCTTGTTTTCTTATGTTTAAAGACTTCTCTGAGTAATTTATCATGATTTTCTATTTTATCTTCCATTTTATTGTTGAGTTCAGAAACCCTCTGTTCACATTTTACAATTCCTAAACCCTATACTTTTTATCCTTGGTATTTCTGTCTAGCATATTTTCATAGAGTCTGTGTCTTTGGTAAATTTGTCATAGACGGTTTTAACCATTTTGGTAAGCTCTTCCAATTTTTTGTTTCTCCCGTACCAGATTGGTCAGTCTGTATGTTAGTTCCATCATCTTTGGGGTCATGTCCTCTTTGAACTTGCCAAGTTTCTTAGTTCTTCTTAAGGAATGTTTAAACTGACACATAATTTATGAAATGCAGTGTGACGGTTTGATTCATTTATGCATTGTGTTGTGATTAATTCAGCAGAATCAGCATCCAATCACCTTAAACTTTAACATACTTTTATGCTGAGTACATGGGGGTATTCTTTTTTGTCCCACATCTTTCAAAATGACTCATTTTCCTGTCCTTCTTTCTTCCATTTTTCTTTCCCTCTTTTTTTTTTTTTAAGTTGAGGATTGAGTTGAGAGCCTCATGCATGCTAAGCAAGTGCTATACCACACAGCTATCTATCCTCAGGCCCCTTTTTATTTCCTAAAAATTGGGACAGGATCTCACAGGGTCTCTAAATTGCCCCACTGATATGGAACTTGCAGTCCTCTCAACAAAGGTTATAGGCAGGTACCACCTGCCTGGCTTCATTTCCTTTTAACAAAAATTCATTATTACCAAGTCTGGCTATGGAAGACAGAACTAGGAGTTCTGGAAACCTTAATCAGAGTTCTAGAGTAATATCAGCACATCTTTTCTGTGAGGCCAGTCAGTAGCTGGGTTAGGCTTTGCGGGTCACGTGGTCTCTATTACACCTATGTATGTCTGCTGGCTTTGGGAGAACGTGGTCACTCTGTAGAACCAATGAATGGCTGATGTGAGCCACAGTTTGCCAGCTGTAGCAAAGTCCTGTCCTTCAGGAGGAATGGCCTTGCCTCCGAGACATGACTCAGCCACATCTGCTTTAGAAAGACTACATTTTATAAAATGCTGTTTTGTGCCAGAGGAAGGCCATGCTCTGTTTATTGCCTGCTCCCCAGGGATGGGTCACTAGGCTGTGTCTGGTGGAGCTTGTGCAGCAATTCTATGGCTGCTAGAGTCTCAGCGTGTCGCATGCCGTGGTCTCCTCCCCCAGGGCCAGGGGCAAGGTGAAGCACTGTCGCATCAACCGGGATGGCCGCCACTTTGTGCTGGGGACATCTGCCTACTTTGAGAGCCTAGTGGAGCTTGTCAGTTACTACAAGAAGCACACCCTCTATCGAAAGATGCGGCTGCGCTACCCCGTGACCCCTGAGCTCCTGGAGCGCTACAATATGGTAGGTGGACCTGATTTCCTGCTTGGTTCCTTCAGTGGGCAAACCTTGAACTGCTGTGCATCTGGTACCATTCCAAAATCAGATGCAGTGGACAGAGCTCCTGCTCGCATGCTGCACATAGTCTAGCTTGGGGAAAACAGACAATAGGTAAGAAAATGTTGCACAGTAAGTGACAGATGGTGATAAATGCTAAGGAGAAAAAATTGGGAAGGAGGATAACTGGATCCAGAATGATGGAGAAAGTGTTGCGTTTTTCAAGAGGCCTGAGAACATCTCACTGAGGACTGAGCCCTGTAGCCATCTAGAGGAAGACAGGACAGCAAGTGCAAAGGTCTTGAGGTGAGATGAAGTCTGCCTGGAGGCCCAAACAGGAAGTTGGAGCAGCTGGAATAAAGTGAGCCTGGGTGGGGGTAGAACTAAGTAAGATTGTAGGTCTGAAGGGGGCTGATCATAGGTAGCCTGGTAGGCCACTTAAGGCACTGGCTTTTATGTTATTAGAGCAGGAGACATGATATAGTTACTCTCTCACTTCCTATCAGAGGGATTCACTCATTTACTGAGAAGAGATTTGTTGGCCTCAACCATATGCCCAAACACACCTTTTCATTGCCTTGGGAAATTCAGGTCCCAGAGAGGAGAGAGAATGCACAGTGACATAGGTGGGGAGTTTTCAGGCAACAGGGATTCTAGCCAAGCAAACAGAACCGGGGGAGGGGGGGTGTGAGATAAGGGGCAGCACAGTAGATAGGGGGCATCAGCAAAGGCTGTCTTTAGAGGATAGTGTGTTAGTGACTCTGGGGAGTTCAGGAGGGCGGTGCATCTGGTTGCTGAAGGAGTGAACTGCTGTGGCCCTGAAGGAGAACAGGAAGGCAGGGTGGGGAGATGGGGGGCAGAGGTGAGAAAGAGGACTTAGCAGCAGGGTGACTGTGGGAACAGCTCTCTGGGGAAGAGGATCTGGTGGGCATCGCTTGCCAGTTTCTCCCACAGTGGCTTGGTGGCCCATGGTAAGTCCCTGTGTGCTGTCCATGAAGACAGGGTCAGCAGGAGAGCAGATGAATAGTGCCAGCATGGGGGCCTTTCCAATTTGGGGGATTTCCAGGCAGGCCTCTTCCCTCAGAGTAATAACTCTAGCCCAGTTTCCAGGTTTGGGGAAACTTCTTTATTACTTCTTGTTATCTATTCACGGGCCACAGAAAATTCCTTAGGTTGCAGGCCTTGTACCAAAGGACAGGGAACCAGGAGGAGGTCTGCAGTCATACTGGTCCAATGGCTGCTTCAGTGGGGGGCTGTCCCATTTACCTCTCTTTTCTTTTTTCAAGGAAAGAGACATAAACTCCCTGTACGACGTCAGCAGGATGTATGTGGATCCGAGTGAGATCAACCCTTCTATGGTATGGTGTAGATCCTTACTGTCACTTGATTAATGTGGATTCCAGGCCCTTTTCCTCACAGCAGCTATTACACAGCAAGCCAACACTCTGGAAAACATGGCCACAGAAAATTGATTCGTTTTTTGAGACAAGGTCTTGCCATGTAGCCAAAGCTAGCCTCAAGTTCACTGAGTAGTCCAGGCTGGCCTCAAACTTGTGGCAGTCTACTTGCCTCAGCCTCCAAAGTGCTGGCATGTGCTACCATGTCCAGCCTTAAAAAAAAAATTTTTTTTTTAAAGAAGAAATGATTGGTAATTATAGTAAATACAGTTTTGGGGAAAAGGTAGCTAGAATTCCATCCAAATGCAGCTGTGCTTTGCTAAAATTCTGGGTTTGATGAACCAGCTTTGAGCCAACTGACTTCCAAGTGGAAGTCTTTCAAATGTTTTTCACTTGCTGACTGAGTCCGTGGTGTTTATAAATTCTGTCTGGTTCACTGACCTCCTTATAATGCAAACACAGTCCCAGATTCCCACCCTGCCTCTGTCCTGGAGTTTCACACAGATGGGGATGGGTTTTACTTTTAGTTCCCAGATTTTCCTTGCTCTGGTTTTCTCTCAAAGGAAGAACTATAGCAAGTTTTCTGTCTGGTCCACAATTACTATATAACATTTGCTTAGCCATGGGCCTTGCTGGTGAGCTCTGTTGAAATACAGAGATAGTATTTTTAAAAATGTATAATCCTTGGCCAGTGCAAATCTTCAGCAAGAAATGAATCCTTGACAAGTTGTGTGTGAAGGGCATTTGCTAGCAGTGAAAACGTCTATGAGAAGTGACGAGTGTCTGGGTGATGAGCAAGGTCACGTCTCTTCCCCAGGCAGTGGTTTGCAGATTTAACTGGGGCCCTCAAAAGCAATGTCAAGCAGACAGTGTGTCTTTCTGCTTGATGGGGCTGTTGTAGCTGGAGATTATTCTGAAGGATTTTGGTCTGTCTCCCTTCCTTTTAAACATAATTTCATAAAACGGGGCTGCCAACTCAAATGTCCCTGAAGGTCAGATAGATAATATAGGCGCATAGAGCCGCCCAGGCAGGAGAAATATTTCTGTCTCTCAATTTGGCTGTGACAATGACAAAGAGTGAAAGTTTGGTGATAAGTGGCAGCTGGCCTCTGGCCTTGTCAGCTGGTGGCAGGGGTGCAGGTGATTATAATCACCTTAGGAACACCCCTCCTCCTCAAGGGTAGATGTCCTTAGCTGGCGTTAGTTTTTGGGAGGCCAGGCCAGGTCTTATGAGTTCTCAGGACAAGCTAGAAATCTGGATGTTTTAAGCGAAGTCTCCCAACATGGAAACTGGTGCCTAAAACCCTTTCTGTGTAAACCAAGTGGCCCCAGAACATGATTGTGTGCTGAGCTTCCGGTCAAGCTGCCAACTAGTAACTCAGAGAAAAACTATTACTGTTATTTAGGAAAGTGCAGTAACAAAGAAAGCCATCGAAAAAAAGGGAAAAAGAACCAGCGGTAGCCTTGCCATCCCTAAGGAGTAGTTGGTGTGTTTTGGGGTGTTTCTTCTCTGCTGTTCCCTGCTCCCCCATACCTGCCATTTTTTCCTGCTCTGTTGCTTACTGCTTCGTCCCTGTAGCCTTCTGTACTGGGGATCTTCATGGCTATTCAGTTGAGCCTGGAAGGCTGGGGAGTTCAGGTGAGGTGTGTAGATGGGGGTTTTAATGTGGCTTTAATGGTGAAGACTACATGGTGACTTTCTAGCTTAGCTGTTTCCCATCAAGGGCCATTTGAGTCAGTTTTAGGTTTTGCGCTTCTGGTTAGTACTGAAAGGAACTTCTCCATGCACAAGATGCTAGGAATTTTGCATTTTCCCCCTTCGTTTGTCACTAGAATTGGAAGGCACAGACCAGTGATGACAGGTGCCATGTGCTGATGACCACACAGCTGGCATTGTTCTCGGCACGTGGCTGTGGTTAGCCAGTTAATCATCCTGCAGCTTCACACAGCAGGTGCTGTTTTGGTGCCCGCTGTACAGATGAGCAGGTTTCAATATACGGAGGTCAAATAATTGCCGAGGACAGCTGTGGTGCGGAACTGGAGCCTGGACACACAGGCTGGCTCTGAGGTGTGTCCTCTGTCATCTGGCTAGGCCCCGTGGCCACTTGGTACTCTGGTGGGGGGCTTGTTACTGCAGCATATGAGGACCTCTCTTGCTATATGACAGGCTGGAGATTTTTCCACATGGAAGCCACTATGTTTGGCATCCCCTCTGCCACCAGCCATCTCTACCTGTGGCCTAGAGCCAGGCTCTGGGTAGAATCCACCCCTCCTGCAGAGGGAAGGCAGAAGTCGGGGAATCTAAGTTGGAGGTTCCCACAGCAGGGGCCCACGGTACTTTCTATGGAACACTGTGAACTATAGTGACAACTCACATTTAATTAATTCAATTCTTGGCTTGGCTACTTACTCTTGGGAAAGGTGTGTCACTTCTTTATACCATTTCCTTATCTGTAAAATGGGTGCAATAACTTAGTCCTGCTACGTCTGGTTGGTAGTGAGGATTACAGGTGATGGTGTGAGTAAAAAGCGTCACAGCAGGGCTGTTACCTTGGTGAGGACATAAAGAATTCAAGTCCTTGTCACTTTTGTCATTAACATGCATTTCCCATATCCAGCTGTGACTTGGTGTTGTCAGTTCTTCTGGGAAAATACCCAGAAGGGGAATAGCTGGATTGAGTGGGGCTGCCAACCCTCATTTTTTGAGGAATCTCCACAGTGATTTCCAGTGGTTGTACCAGTCTACACTCTCACCAACAGTGGAGAAGGGTTCCTTTTTTCCCACAGTCTTTCCAGCATTTGTTTTTGATTTCTTGATGATAGCCATTCTTTCTGGTGTGAGGTGGGATCTCAGTGTAGTTTTAATTTGCATCTCAAATGATCAGTGATGTTGAACATTTCTTTATATATTTATTTGCCATTTGTATTTCTTCATCTGAGATGTTCATATTTATTTTAGGTGCCCATGTTTTGATTAGGTCTTTGAAATTTAGGGGAGAGGTCCTGATATTTTTCGATTCTTTTTATGTTCTAGATGAAAGTCCTTTGTCTGAGGGACAGTTGGCTAAAAATTTTTCCCAGTCTGTTTTCTTTTCATCCTGTTGGTGATTACTTTTGATGTGTAAAAACATTTTAGTAAGATGAGATCCCAGTTGATTCTTTGAAGTATTTCCCATGTAATTTGTGTTTTGTTTGTGAACTCATTGCCTAGTCCTGGGTCTTCCATATTATTACCTATATTGTCTTCCAGTATATTTCATGTTTCTGTTTTAATATTTAGATCCTTGATCCATTTTGACTTTAGTGCATGGTGATAGACATGAGTCTACTTTTAGTCTTCAGCATGTGGAGAGAGCCAGTTGTTCCAGCACCATTTATTAAACAGGCTATCTTTCTTCCAGTGAATATATTTGGCCCCTTTGTCAGAGATAAGGTGACTGAATGTGTTTGTAGTTGTGTTTACATTTTCTAATCTGTTCACTGATTCTCAGGAACTGTTTTTTGTTTGTTTTGTTTTGTTTTTGCCAGTACCACGGTGATTTTATCAGAGTAGCTTTGTATTATAATTTCAATTCTGAGATTGTGATGCTTTCTGCCTTGCCTTTGCTGGAATAAATAAAATTTTAATTCCCATTTCACAAATGGGGAAGATGAGACTCAAAGAACCTCCAGCTTACATAGCTAGGGAGGAGCCGTGCTGTGATTTGAACCTCTGACTGACTTTGTTGCCTGTCTCTGCACAAGTGGTTTTTTCAACTCCTCATGAATTCCTGTTCCCATTTCCTTTGGGCAGGAGAAGAGAAGCCACTGATCCAGGCAGTTCGATGATGTGTGAGGCTTCTATGGCTATTTTCTTGCTGTGTGGGTGTGCACTTTGGCCTGGTTTATGCTTGCCCAGCAGCAGGCAGATGTGTTGAAGTTGTATTTTGGAAATGTTCTGACCCAGCCCAGCCCCAGCCCACCCGTGATGCATGACATGAAGCAGCACTTCAGCTGCTCTTACAGAATGCAGGATCCTGCAGAGCGGGTACCTGGCCCAGGTCAGAATAGTGGTTGAGGTCCAGCACAGTCAGGACATGGAGCTGCCCTGGGACCTCTGCAGGAGCTGAGGATGGCAGCCCTGAGAACCTCAGATATGGTGGTCATGGCTTACTCTTAAGGGCAGGCCCTTTCTTTGCTGAGGGACTCAGGCAGTGTTCCCACTCCCAGGTGCCCTTATTAGCTAATTAGCTCACCACCTACTTCCCCTGGGGACATTTTTTTGGGTGTAGGGAGTCTTCTGCAGTCTTGGTTCCTCAACACCAGATGGTACTGGAAGCTCAACCTCTGCTTTCTGTGGGTACTAAACACAAGAAAATGGCACCGGGGATGCTGCTGCTGTCCTGGGCTGCAGCCTCTGCTTGACTTCCACCTTTCTGTTTTCCCTGAAAGCCTCAGAGAACCGTGAAAGCTCTGTACGACTACAAAGCCAAGCGGAGTGATGAGCTGAGCTTCTGCCGCGGTGCCCTCATCCACAACGTGTCCAAGGAGCCGGGGGGTTGGTAAGAGGCTGGGGGCTGGTGGCGACCCATGCTGTCTTTCTGTCTGATCTTCTGTTGTGCTGAGTCCCCAGGAAGGTGGCCCAGCCCATCCTCCAAAAGAGACAGTGGGTACAGCCCTGACAGTGGTTGTACAGGGTCTGCGTCCCTGTGTGCTGCATGTTACGGCACCTGAGCCTGCAGCTGCTTGCTGTTCACTGAGGGCTCTGGTGTCCCCAGCACTCTGCCGACTGCTGCCACACATCATCTAACAAAATCTGTGGAGCTGAGACTGTGACTGTCCCCACCTAAAAGATGTGGCTGCTGGGGTTTCCAGGTCACACAGAGGCAGGCTCCTCCCATGGCACAAGCCTTTTAGGTCACCTTAAATTCAGATTCTTAGGCTGTGCTTCAGATGCTTAGTCCTGTGCTGTGGTCCACGGCCCTGTCCTGCACGGAAGCAAGCAGTTTTAGGGCACAGGGGCCTGGCTGGCTACTATAGCTAGCAGTTTGCTCTTTCTTCACCTTGGAAGAAAAATTTGTGGCCCGCCAACAGGTCCCCAGGTGAGTGGCACTGTGTCTGAGAGCAGCGGGAACTTAGCCTTACCCAGGGCCATGGGCAGAGGTTTGGGCACCGACAAGACCAAGGTGTCTCCCGCCACGAGGTCGCTGGGGCTGACGGAGAAATCTTGACAGCAGCTCGTGCTGAGCCCAGTGTCTGGAACTCTGTCGTGAGCACTTCCTTTACCTCCAACGCGCTTCACTTAATCCCTGTGAGATCAGGACGTTCCCTTCTGTTGCAGCAACCAAACACTGACATGAATTGCCTTATAGGAGGCCGGATGTGCTTCGGCTCAGTTTCAGTCAGTGGTCAGCAGCTCCAAGGCAGATGCATCACGGCGGAGGGGCCCAGGAGGAGGCTGCTCCTCCAGGGGAGCTGGGTTGCAGAGAGCCACAGAGGTCAGGGTCAGGAACAGAATGCAGTCCCGTAAGCCACACCCCTGCTCCACTCCCTTCTAAGTCTGTCACCTCCCAGTAACGCCACCAAGTCCTGGACATGATAATGGATGGATCCACTGCTGAATGGGGTTATAGCCTACACGATCTGGTCACCTCCCAGAGCCCCACTTGGAACCCATGAGCCTCTGGGGGACGTTTTAGGTCCAAACTATAACCGTTCTGTTGGTAGCTGTTTTATGGAGGAGGAAAGCAAGGCACAGAGAAGGGAGTAGGAACTTGTCCAGGGTCACACAGCAGGCTGGGATTTGAACCCAGACCTCTGACCCCAGGCCCATAGTCTTACTGCATTCACATGTGAGGCCTTTCCCTGCCCTCCTTGGGGATTCTAAACTTGTTTTAAAGCCAGGAGAACTTCTCACCCCAAAGCTGTTCTTCCCTGGACCCCGAAATCCAAAGCAGGGCAGGGTACAGCTCGACCACAGCTGGAGCAGGAACTTGGGGCTGCCCCATGTGGCCCCTCTGCCAGCATCTGAGCCCCTCCACTCCATGCTGGGCCCCAGTAATGGTCTCATCCAGTGCACAGGCTTGGTTTTGGCAAGGATGCTCCCAGGCTGCCACTGCCCCCTCATGGTGTCCCTCCAACAATTCCCAGCCCCACAGTGGTCCTGTGTGAGGGGGACAGCTGTGCAGCTCCCGAGGTCCTCAGGCTGTTCTCTCGGGAGGAACTAAGACACCAGCCTAAATCCCCTAGCAAGAGACTTTGGGTGCACAGCCCACCCTATCTTGCTCATTCTGGAGGAGACAGTGCTGCCTAGTGGGCTGCCTGCATCAGGCCACTGTAAACTTACAAAGCCGAGGACACCAAGTAATTTATGGCCAAACCAAGACCCTTTTGAGAGGGACAGAAATGCTATGATTGCACACGGGCCAAGGATCCTCAGAAGCACAGCTGGCCTTTACCTGAGCTGGGTCTGGAGAAATGCAGAAGGGGGTGACAGTGATATCACTAGGAGAACGTTCTGCTCCCTAGCCCTTGCTCAGCTCATGCCACCACCCCACAGCACAGGTGGCAGGGAGACCAGGAGGCCCTGGGGGAGAGACAGCCAGGAGCATGACTCCAGGTTAGCCGTGAGGCAGGTGCATCCAGCAGCAGCCTGGCGTTTTTTGCCTTGATCTTAAAAAATGTTACCATAAAAACTTCTAAAAGAAAGTTTTATTACTTACATTAACATATTAGATGCCTTGTGTGGCCCCAGAGAATTTCTGTTGGCTCAAAAAAGGGCCAAAAGAGATGGTAGCTGCAGGTTGGATGCAGGTGAGAGTGTGGCTGCTATGACAGCCCTGAGACCAGGACACATGCAAAGCACAGAGGAGGAGCCCCAGCATCATGAGCAGTCAGGGAGGCTCCCTGGAGGGAGAATGGGCACAGGCTTCAGTGGTCATAGGAGGAAGCTGGGCAGGGAGCAGTGTGGAGGGAACACCAGGTCTGAGTTCCAAGGCCCTGGGGTCAGACCGTGCTGGGCTGAGATTGCTCAGTGAGTGTGGACCCTGTGGCCTGGGGAGCTGTCCCGTGGCTCAGTCACAGGTGCGTTTGTATGCAGAGAGGGGCCCATTAGGTGGAGGTGAGCAGGCTACAGGGAGGAGGGGGCTCTGCCCAGATGGGCGCAGGGTGCAGGCAGGGCCTGTAGTCTGGTGGCATCCAGGCAGCCTGGACCAGCTGTGTCTCAGGTCATGGGTGCTGTGAGGAAGGCATGGGAGCACTACTGGGCTGAGTAGCTCCAGGCACGTGTCTCCTGGTCACTTGGCCACTTGGCATCTTTCCCCCACAGCACCAAGCCAGCAGCTAGGGCTCTGGCAGGACATTGATGCCCTCTCTTCCACCCAGGTGGAAAGGAGACTACGGCACCCGGATCCAGCAATACTTCCCATCCAACTACGTGGAGGACATCTCCGTGGCAGAGGGGGAGGAGTTGGAGAGGCAGGTGAGTCTGTCACTGCCGTCCTTAGGGAGAGCCTGCTGGTGCTATCTGGGAGTACGCTGAGCCTCTGTTCTGAAGCTTTTCACAACAGGGAAGACATGCTGTGGAAATTGGGACTGTCCGCAGGTTGTCATCTGTGAAGGTCACTGTGACAAGCTAGTCACATTTTAATCAGACTGTGCCAGGCTGAAAGGCTCTAACTACACGGGAGAGTTCCTATTAGAGCAAAACTGGCCACATGAGGATTTGTCCTTTGCTCCAAGCAGCTTGCAAATGAGGCGCACTGGGTTTAGACGCCCAGACGCTCCGAATGTGCCTGGTGTGAGCAAGCCAGGGGCGTCATTGGATAGTGACACCAGGCCTTTCTGGGGGCTCTGCCCCAGGTTTCTATCCCAAGCTGCCTTTTAGCCATAATGCTTGGCAAGCAGTCACTTTCTCTGTGACAGCTCTGCACTGGGGATGACTTTGTAATGAGGCATGTTAGTTTTCTCTTTTGTGAGATAAAGTACATAATAACCAACTTTTAAAAAGGAAAGGTTTATTTGGCTTTCAGTCTATAGTCTGTTGGCTCCAAGCTGGGTGGCATGGCAGACAGGCACTGCAGAGGAGAAACAGTTTGTGGCCAGAAGAAGCAAGTAAGAGACAAGACAAGCCTCCTTCTATCTCTTACAATGCATCCATGCTGTCGGGCTTAGGACAATGCCAAACCAACCAGTGGACTGGTTTAGTAATTACCTACTCTTAACCCTAACACACATAATCTTAGTGTCGCACCATGCGTCAGTCACACACTCTAGATCCAGCCACCTCTGAAAAAGCCCCTCCATGACCGAATGAGACTTTAGGGGGACACAAATCATGACATTCTGTCCCTGGCTCCCCAAAAACTCAGGTATATTTATTTTATGTCACAAGCCTTTAGTTTATCTTTGAGTTGTTATGGTTTTAATATTTTTAGCATTTGTTGAAAAGTTTAATTTTTTTCTGAGATTTAAGGCAAACATCTATAATCCCCTGTATAAATGAAAAGAAAGTTAAACACTTTTAACATGTAATGGTACCAGACAAACATGATTTCTAACCTACATAGCGGAATATAAAGGAATGGGATCAAAGCAAGTATAAAGTCCATTAAGTCTTGAAGTTTTGTATCAAGTATCTTAGGCAATCTGTGCAAAGAAATGAACTTTAAAGAGATTAGGTGGCTTTGCTTTTGTGATGGTTGTAGCTCATATGGCTTCTTTCTTGGGCTGGTTTTGGAGGGATTTTTTAAATAGTTTTTTTTTTTTTTTTTAAGATCTACATTTTTGGCTTTATTTCAGACTTTTGGGGCCTCTACTGTATCTTTGGCTTTACACTCATAAATTTTATACACTGTCTTTTTAGGGCCACACTGTTTGGCATCTTATACCTTTTTTAAAAGTTTGAGTGAAAACGTTTTTGACCCGACAGTTTTGTACTTGATATGTATCTACATCTAGTACTATATGGGTTTAGGATTTAGCTCAGTGGCACAAGCACCTGCCTGGCCAGCACGAGGTCATGAGTTCAATCCCTAGTACAAATAAATAAATAAATAAATACAAACAAACAAACTAGTACTATGTGGGTGATGTCAACATTTGTTGTCAGTTGGAGCAGTAGCCATGCCTTTTGGGAGGGGGGTGCTGTAGGGCTTGAATCTGATCTAAATCTTGAACAGCTTTTTTAGGCAGCACCATTTTGGAACATGGTGCTCTGAGGTGATTTTTGTTTGTTTGTTCTTTGCTTTGCTTTGCTTTGGTTAAGTTTTTTATCTTTGCAACCTTGAGGCAGCAAAGGCTAGAGTCTTGTTTGGGATGTCTTTATGTTAGTTATTTTTGGTTACCAAGTTATTGTTTTATTTTTATAGTCTATGACTTTATTAGAGGTGGGATTTTTTTTGTTTTGTTTGCCAAACTTAAGTTTTAAATCATTTTCTTGGGTTCTTTGTTTTGATTTTTAACATAAATCTGCCTAAAAGCCCCTAACAATAATTAACAATAGACTGCTTTGAAATTCTTTTTTGTCTGTTGCCCTTAATCTTAGTTGGAAACAAAGCTTTTGGATATGAGCAAAATGTAGACAAACTTTTTGCCAAGGCATTATAGACATCGTTTGGAATCTAAGAACCAATGTAGTCTTTTTTTGTTTTGTTTCAGTAGAAACCTTCTGACTTTAGCATTTTGGTCTTTTGTGCTCTGACCAGAATCTTTATCAAGTGTAGCCTAAAGCTTCTTAGGGTTTGTTTGTTTGTTTGTTTGTTTGTTTTTAGCCAGTATCTTTGAACCTTTTCAAACTCTTTCCATAAGGCAGTTTTAAAGACTCTTGAATCACAGAGTTAGGTATAGTTACAGCAATCTCACTGTCAGTACCAAATTTTGTGTGTTACTTTTCTCATTGCTAAGACAAAAGTACCTGATACCCCAATTAAAAGAAGAAAGGTTTATTTGGCTTACAGTTTGTAGAAGTTACCATAATCAGTTGGCTCCAAGACAAGGTGGCATGACAGACAGGCATTGCAGAGGCGAAACAGTTAAAGGTGGGCAGAAGGTAGGAAAGTAAGCAACAGACAAGAAATCCTGTTTCTGTCTCTTATATTATATCCAGTGCCAAACCAATGAATAAACTAATTAGTAATCATCTACCCTTAATCCTATACCCTTAATCCTCATACCATAAAATATCACACACTCTACATCCAGCCACCTCTACAGAAGCCCCACCTATTACCACATAAAGTTTTAAAATATAGCCACAAACCATAACATGAAGACTCTGGGTCCCTTTAGCATCTATTTCCTAAAGGAAGTGGGACAATCTGGGAGGGCTTCTTGGAGGAAGGTGTATTTGAGCCCTAGGAGCCAAGTTGGAAGCTAACAGCAGTGTATTGGAAGATCACAGACTGGAGGTGCAGCCTATGGGAAGGTGTGGTGGGAGGACTGCAGTTGTGCTCAGTTGTGTCTGTACCCATCGTCCTTACTTGAGTATCTGCATCAGCGTGGCAGAGGAAAGTGTGCAGTGCCTGCCTCTCGGCCAGCTCTCCTGACACTACCATACTCTCTATCCCAGCTGGAAGGGCTGCTGAGGCTGGGAAACCCTAGGAACAAGGTTGCAGAGCACTGCTTCACAGGATGGGGGAACCACAGATGGCTCTTGAACTAGGGCATCACAGGCACACAGTCCTGTTCCATATCCAGCTAAAGGGTCTAGGACAGTGGTGGTGAGTGCACAGCACCTGTGCCTCCGTGGGCACACAGAGCCACGTCAGCATGCGAGCCAACTCACCCCAGCTGCTGAGCATCAGAAAAGAGTCTTCTCTAAATGAAGCCTCAGTATTTGGGTTTCACTGCAGTGTTGGCTGTTAAAAAAGTGGGGTCTCAAGTTGTAGTTTGGACATTTGGTCTCCAAAAGATTCGCCATCACTGGGGGCATGTTTTAAGACCTGTCCTGGACAAGCCACACTTTTACAAACTGGAAACAAAACACGGAACCTGTGGCCACCTGCTCACCATTCTGTCCCCATCATCTTCAGGGGTCACTATCTCACTCTTTCCCATGGACATAGCCTTAAACAGTTCCAAAGGCATTGCCCCTGCTAAGCAGTGCTTGGAAATGCACTGTCCTTTTAGGACCCCATGAGTAATGGCTTGTCTCTTGACAGATTATCGAAGATAATCCCTTGGGGTCCCTTTGCCGAGGAATCTTGGACCTCAACACCTACAATGTAGGTATGTGCACCACAGGCTAAGCCCTATTCCCACTGACCCCAGAGGCTGCCCACAGAGCCACCTGAGTAGGTGGAGGGTGATGTGGTCATGGCCATCCTGGACTCTGATTCTGCTCCTTCCATGGCCTAGGCTGTGCATTCTGGGCTAGGTTGGAGAAGGATGTTAGTCTGCTACTGAGCTCTAAACTGTAGCGTGCAGCAGGGTCTCATGCACCGCTGTCCCCTAACATGTTTGCTGCGGTTGTTACCAGCATCATCACTGTCGTGTCAGGGATCTGCCTTTGTTTCCTATGCTTTTGGAAGAGCCGAGGTGTTGGGTGGGTGGAGATGGCACCTGGAGTTGGATGTCTCGGCTTTTCTGCGCAGCTCTGCATCTTAGTCATCATAAGACCATGTGGTGGTCACTGCTCTATGAATCTCAGCTTCCCTGCTGTGCACCAGGGAACAAGGAGGGCAAAGTGCAGGTGTGGCTGTGGCAAAGGCTGTGTGAGGGTGCAAACTGTGGCTGCGCCAGGATGCTTGGGTCTAGAGCCTGCATCTCGAGCACTGCAGCCCGAAAGAGGGGATGGCAGAAGTAAGGGGCAATCAGGGCAAGACGCCCAGGCAGCAGTCCTTTCTGAGCTGGGCTTGCACTCCTGAGACCCGACCCCTACCCGGGAGCCCTTACCTGGTTCCCTAGGGCTCAGATGACAGAAGTCTGAAAATGTCCTGCTTCCCTCGGCTTCCTACCTTTATTTCCTGCTCTGGTTAGTTCCCTTATAGCTATCCAGCAGGGTAGGTAAGAAAGAGATGTTTTCCTTTTGTTCTAATTAATAGCTGAGACAAACTGAGCTCAAAAGTGGCCACGACGATGGTCTGAGGTCCCTGGTTAAGTCCCCAGATGCTCAGGACCTTTACTTTCATGTCCAACATTCTTTTCGTTGATCCTTTCCCTGTGTTGCGGAGGAGAGATAGGAGGCCCGATGGCAGGGAGTCATCATCAGGTTTGATTTGCCCCTCAGCTTTGCCACCATGAGTTGTGTCATCTGCCAGGTGTTACTTTTCCTCAGTGAGCCTCTATTTTGTCTACAGTAAAGCAGATGTAAAACGATGAGGAACCAGCTAGGCAGAGATAAGGATCAAGTAAGACACAGCCCACACTTTGCTTAGAACACCGGCCGGCATAGAAGAACTCGGAAGACTTACCCACTCCTGTTCTAAGGAAGATGCTTCTCCCTCTACAACCTTAATTAAATCGTTCTCACTTCACTGCTTCCTCTGAGTGTAGAGAATTCATTCCGCATCCTACTCCTGGATCCTGCTGAAGACTCTGTCACTCCAGAATCTGCCTGTGTGGCTTCTCCCATGTCTGTGTCTCTTCTCCTCTTTCTTGTGAGGACAGCCATCTCTGGATTTAGGGTTTACCTAAAACTCAGGCTGTCTCATCACAAGACCCATAGGCACATCTTTAAAACCTTAATTCTGAATCAGGTCACAGTCACAAGGAGAGGGGACTTGCTTTATCTTTGGGAAGACACCACTCAGCCCACTGAGACTGTAACAGTTACATGCACATGTGAGGCCAGACCTTCTGAGTGGCACCAACCATAATTATAGGATGGAGGCCCGGGTTGGTTCACAAAGAAGTGGCTGGTGGCCTTCTGCTAGACTGATTGGGTCTTTTTTATCCTCTCCCACAGTGAAAGCCCCACAGGGGAAAAACCAGAAGCCTTTTGTGTTCATCCTGGAGCCCAAGAAGCAGGGTGATCCTGCAGTGGAGTTTGCCACCGACAAGGTGGAGGAGCTCTTTGAGTGGTTTCACAGCATCCGGGACATCACTTGGAAGATCGACACCAAGGTGAGGCTCCGTTCACCTGGGCGCAGGTGGGCCTGGCACGCCCTTCTGAGAAGGTGGGTGGCCTGGGCAGCAGGAGGGCCAGGAATTCAGCTGTACAGAACTCCGGTGAAGGAGATGTGGACACAGGTGTAAGAGGTATACAGGTGGGGGGACACTGAGGCCCCCCAGGATGCATCCGGAGGCTCGCGTGTGTGTAGTGACACTCCATGTCAGGTCCTCCATGTCTTAGCAGGGACGTGTCCCTTCCTCACTTTGGATGTTTCATTGATTCTAACACTTTGCAAAGCAAATGTTCCCTGAGCTCGCCTCCCTTTTCCAGAATGGATCTTGGGAAGACGTTAGTACGCCCCAATTCTCTCTTCCCCTTTAGATGGGAGTAATTGGTGTTGGAGGTGGCGTGGGCCTCTGAGTAGGAGCAGGAGGTTTGGATCTATGCAGGCTGGAGCTGGCACCTGGCAGGGTTGGATACTGGGATGGAGCCAAACTCCTCCAGGCCTGGTTTCCTTGTCTGAGAAATGAGGAGGCAAACACTTGAAGGAGGAGGCGAAGCTATGGTGAAATGGTGCATGAAAATTGTCAGGCTTCGTGGTGGATGCACTGCAGGGGCACAGCCTGTGCCAGCATTTAACCATCACACTGTCTTTCTGTCAGGGTGACAAGAAAGGTGTCTGCATCTTGGAGGAGGGAGAAATATGTCCTGCTCTTTCCTGTGGCTACAGAACTGGCAAGACATTTTAGCTTCCCATGTTCCCGCCTCCTCCTGAGGCAGATCCAGAGAACTGAGCTGAAAGCTGTTCTGGGACCTCCTAGGCCCCTGTAACCTCCAGCAGTAGTTAAATCTCTCCTCTGAGGGCCTTGGAGTGGTCACTCACTGGCAACCTGGTTTCCTCTCCCCTGGAGTGGGGGTGGGGCTACTCGGGTCCCTGGACTCACCAAACTCCTCTGAAGGGAAATGTCATCTTTAGTAGATTAGACAGAGAGCCCATCAAAGCCTCCCTCATGAGGCTTGCACCTTTCCCCCATCCCTGGGTGTAGTCAGGACCTCACCTGGAGCTCTCATCCTTCCATGGCTTGTCAACACCATCAGTAGCCACTTGGAGCAGACCATCAGTCACGTGACCAGCGAAGGTGCTTATTCCTGCTGTCTCTGAGGTGCAGATCTGCTGAGGCCTGTGGAGTGGGGAGGCCACTGCCCTGAGCTTCCTCTGCAGAATCGCCCTCCTCATGCTCTGGGTGTGAGTGCATTGCTGGCTGAGCAGCTGGCGTCACTATTTCCTTGGCATCCCGTAATGCATGTTAACCTCCCAAGCATGCTCTAGTTTTTGAGGTTCTGGATCCTTCTAGCTGGGAATAGAGAAAGGCAGCAGTAAGTCCTTAGCACGGTTGCTGGGACCTCACCGCCAGGCATCCCCTCCTCCTGTGAGAACGGGCGTGGAGGCTGCTGAGGATGCCCTCTGCCTGCCCATCCCGGCACTGTCTACCTCCCTTCATGAGGAATAGTGTGGCTGCACGTGAAGGTTTTCTCCCCACCACCTCTCCTGCTGCGTCAAGATTTCAGAAATTTAACCCAGCTGTTCAAGGCTGCCTCTTGCTGTCTTTGATCTAAAATCCTCCTTGGTAGTTCTTTACATTTGGTAAGATGTCATGAGAAGCCTCTTTTAATGTCTTCCTATTGCATGTGAAGATTAAAAACACAAGGGTCAGAGTTGATCAAATTCCTGCTATAGGCGTAGTCAGCCTGGGAGAGGGACTGACTGGTATGGAGGCATCAGGAAGAGCCCATGCTATCTTTGGGACTTGTCATAAGGTGAGCCATCGGCCTGCTGCCAAAGCTTTTATTCAGAGCTGGCTCTAAGGAGAGGGTGTGACTTCTGGCACTGAACACAGGAGGACGTTGTACTGAAATCTCTAGCATTTGGTGACTGATAGGGCAATGCAGAATGCAATATAGGACACATAGGGCAAGAGCAGGGACTTGCATCCAGCCAATAGTTGACGAATCTGATCTTGACAATGGCCGGCTGTGTGGCCTGGAGTAAACCACTCAACTTCTCTGTGCAAATGGAGATAAATTCTGCCTCTCAGCAGACAGTGTGGGCCAACTTAGCCAGTATCCATCGGCACTTAGCACGTGATGCCCAACACTGAGCACTTCCCAAATGGTGACAGTTGTCATCTATTCTCTCAGAGGTCTCCTTGGCCAGCAAAAGGCTGATGGTCAGAACTGCAGAAGAGGGCACGAGGGCCACCTGCTGTGGGGGAGGGAGAAGGTTGTTCCAATGGGAAGCATCTCCAGGTCCATGTCTAGGCCCTCTGGACCATGCAGCAGTGGGCAGTCAGAGGAAAAAAGAGGCTGCACACCTCTCAGTGGTGCGGGGGGTAAAGTGCATTGTTCTGCAGGGCTGTTAGCTCTGAGGGCTGGAATTTGATGACTGCATTTTTAGGGAAGGGGACAAGATGGGAGGCAGAGAGCAGAAGATTAAGTAAAATGACAGGTCCCCTCTTCGGCCACCCTGGCTCCTATCTACTTTGGAAAGCCATGGTGAGGACTGAGCCAGACACCAGAAATGGAAACAACTTGCTGGAGAATATGAGCCGTAAGAGGACGGAGACAGAGGAAAGCAGGGTTGTCTTCAGAACAGGAAAGTATGCAGCCCTGCAAGGTCTGAGTGCGCAGGGGTGAGGGATGGGAGGACTGCGGGTCACTTGGGCCGGCCTGAGGGCTGTGAGTGATCAGGGTGGGTTTCCATAGGAGAACAACATGAAGTACTGGGAGAAGAACCAGTCAATTGCCATCGAGCTCTCAGACCTGGTCATCTACTGCAAACCAACCAGCAAAACCAAGGACAATTTAGGTACTCTTTCCCGTGACCCTGTCCTCACCTGTGGCGAACGCTGTTGTTTCCTTGAGTCTGAGGTTTGAGAGGGCACAGTGACTGTCTGCTGCTCATTCTTAGTTATGCTTGAGGCAGAAGCCTCAGCTCAAGTTTGTCCACAGGGCCCTTTCCATGTCCCAGTAGTGAAACCCAGTGAGAGGGTGGACAACTTGGTGGCTGGAAACGACACACATTTATTCTCTCAACCCTAGAGGCCAGAAGGCTAAAGTCAGGATCTCTAGGCCCAAGTGGAGGTGTGAGCAGTGCTGTGCTCATCCTACAGCCTCTTGGTTGTTTCTCTTGTTGGTGAGACAAAATACCCAACACCCGAAGTTAAAGAAGGCAAGTTCTATTTTGGCTCAGAGCTTGTAGATGTTTCACTCCATAGTCAGCTGGCCCCAAGGTAAGACAGCATGACAGAAGTTCATGGCAGGGTCGGTAAGAAAGTAATAAGCAGCAGCTGCTTGCCTTCCATCTTTCTGTGTTATTCCATCCAGGACACAAACCTCCCAATTGGTGCCAACCCACATCCTAGGTAGGTGGAGCTACCATTATCCACACCCAGAACTATGCTACACCAATTTAGTTATCACACACCCATGATCCAGCACACCCAAATTCCATATTTTCTTTGGATTGTCCAGGGTCCGCATGGTTAGCACTCGGCTGCCCACCACGGCTGGATGGAAGTAATCTCCCAAAAGCCCCATCTGCAACCACATGAGGCTTTGGGGGACTTCTAGATACAAGCCATTACACGGAGGCTCCAGAGGACTCTGTTCCTTGCTTCCTCCACGTTCTGTTGGCTGTAGCATCCTTTGGCTTGTGGCCCCTTCACTCCATTGTCTGCCTCAGCAGGCATATGGCCATGTCCTCTTCCAGCTCCCTATTTTAAGGACCCTCTAATCACAATAGGTCTACATAGCTAATGCAGGATAATATCCCCATTTGAAACACCTTAAATAGATCACATCTGCAAAGTCCCTTTCACCATTTAATAAAGCATATTCATAGGTTCTGGGCCTCAGGCCTTGCCTAGACATTATTGGGGACCATTAGCCTACCACACAGAGAGTAAAAAGTGAATCTTCTACCACATTCTCCAAGTAGCAACTTTTTTTTTTGTACTGAGGATTGAACTCATGACTTTGCACTTGCCAGGCAGGCACTTGTGCTGCTGAGCTAAATCCCCAGCCCTGTAGTAGCAAGTTCTTGGATGATGCTTTTTGTATTTTATTTCTTGTTTCTTTGGGAATTTTAAGCAATTCTGAATCTTTCATCTCAAGCCCAGAGGAACAGTACTGAACCACAGATTTAACTCTAAAAGTGGGACCCTGGGCCTCTTGACATTCAGGGGAAGAATGTTGCTGAAGGTCACCCAGCCTGGGTCAGCATGGTTAGCACTCAGCTGCCCACCACAGCTGGATGGAAGTAATGCTTTGTCCAGATGAATAGGTGGACAGTGGTACACTGGTTTCATCTATCCACCTGGACAGATGTCCACCACAGATAAAACCTGTCCACCGCCACCCTCTTTTCCTTCCTATCATGTCTCCTCCTGTGGGCACTGGCATTTGGTGTCCACTTCTCCAGGATTCTGGCTTCATTCTTGTGTCTATAGTATCATTGCTAAGGAAGCCAGTCTGTTCTCTGCATCTTGACTCCTGAGATCTCTACCCTAATGCTTTTGATAACGCATCCCACCTGCCCCATCCTGTGACTACCAATTTGGTGGTTTCTGGTTTAAAGATAACAGCGGTTATAAACTAACAATGAGTTACAGTATGTCTAGATTGAAAGGCTATAAGAAAGCTGGGTCTTTTCTTGTGTGAGACCACACGATGGCAGACATCCATAGCAGTACCACTTGTGGCATCACTGTCACAAACCCTGATATCTTGTCAAGAGAAGTTCCTGGTTTCTTCCCAACCTAAATATCTACCACTGCAGACGCATAGAGGACACCTGCACAGCACACAGTCTGACTTGCCTCTCTGTGCAGAAAACCCCGACTTCCGAGAAATCCGCTCCTTCGTGGAGACAAAGGCTGACAGTATCGTCAGACAGAAGCCCGAGGATCTCTTGAGATATAATCAGAAGGGCCTGACCCGCGTCTATCCAAAGGGACAGAGGGTTGACTCTTCAAACTATGATCCCTTTCGTCTGTGGCTGTGTGGTTCCCAGATGGTGGCACTCAATTTCCAGACCGCAGGTAAAGGAACCCTGAAGGTGGCTGTGTGGGTACCAGTAAGAGAAACAACCCAGGCTGGGCTCGAACTTCCGGTCCTCCCTCAGCCTCCAAGTGCTAGTACTGTATCAGTGTGTGCTACCACCTTGGCTGGTTTTAATCTTTTATGGTTATGGATTTTGTGTCAGACTTGGAAAGGTTTTCCCCATTTGGGATTATTCCAAATTCCATATTTTCTTTGGATCAGACACCTACTTGCCCTGCTGCCCCAAATGATCACAGGAAGTCCGGGTACCTTGTGCTACACTCCTTGGCCTCCTTTGGTCAGTCTCTCAGACCTCATTCCCCTTCCAGACAAGTACATGCAGATGAATCATGCGTTGTTTTCCCTCAATGGGCGGACGGGCTATGTCCTGCAACCGGAGATCATGCGGACGGGGAAGTATGACCCAATGCCGCTAGAGTCACAGCGGAAGATTCAGATGACTCTCACCATCAAGGTAGGGTGGACACACTCCCTGGGCAGGGCTACACATGCTGCCTTGGGCAGCAACATTTGTGAACTGCCGACATCCTGACAGCTTCTCAGGACCTTTAGTGCAGTACCTAGGTGGGAAAGAGAGGGAACTTTCTAACCACTACAGTCCCTTTCCTTGTCTCCCGCAGAGTGTGAGGTATCATCTGTGTCTTTGAGGTCCCAGAAAGATCAGCCTAGGACTAGGAAGATTAAGAAAATAGACATGCCCTTGGGGTCTTAATGGAGAAGAGTCTGTGTGCCCTTTGACCAATTTTGGAAGTTAAAGCTTATTTGAATTCAACATTCAGAGAATGTGTTGCTTCTTTGTAAGAGTAGAGAAATGAATTGCATTTCTCATGAGATTAAGAGAAAAAAAATGAAACGTGTAAGAAAAAGTGTTTCTTGAAAAAGTCACAAAAAGAATGATCACGATCTGTCCCCTTCCCAGTTTTGAGAGATGCAGGATGTGATATGACGTCCCAGCAGGTGCTACCTGGGCATGGGTGTGCAGGCTCAAGTGAGACTTCCCTACTGGGTCAGACAGCATTTCCTCATCTGACGGAAGCAAGGGTGGACCCCTCAGAACCCACAGCATAGGGTCCAGGACACCTGTCCAGGACAAGAGGCTGGCTTTGATTTCCTATAGTCTGACTCCTGCTGCTGGGCTCTGTGGGATAAACTAACCTAATACTTAACATTCCCTGTCCTAGGTCCTTGGTGCTCGCCACCTACCCAAGCCTGGACGAAGTATTGCCTGTCCCTTTGTAGAGGTGGAAATCTGTGGGGCAGAGTACGACAACAACAAGTTCAAGACAACAGTCGTGAGTAAGTAAACGCGGAGCAAGCTGAATCAGATGTGGGTTGCTGTCCCTGGGGATTCTGTAGGATGCTCTTGTCATCCAGCCCTTTTGATTCACTCTTGTCCACTGTGATTCAGCTTGGAGGTGGGAGACAAGGGCCATCTCATAAGATCACTGGAGTTGTACCCTGAACTGTTCCTTCAGTGAAGAGCTTGAGGCAAGAGTCTTGCTCACACAACACGAGTGTGCTTGTCACCAGGCCACAGCCCAGGTCTGACACGGCTGTTGAGCTGAAGACTGAGAAGCAGACAGAGTAGGGTCACATGGTATGGCAGTCTCAGAGGTTCCGCTGAGTGGTTTGGTCTCCGCCCCCAGAGGCAGGAAAGACAAAAGGAGCCCCTGCTCCTCCAGATGAGCAGGAAGGGCCCTGAGCAATGGGCCTGTGAGGACACAGAACAGCTGCTCCTGGTCAGGGGCAGTCCAGGGAACAGCTCAGGTGCTGACCTGCGGGTGTTTCTGGAGGTGGCAGGTTTGCTGTTTTCCTCCATGAGCCTGTGTCCCCTGAGAACTCCAGAACACGTTCTTCAGGCTGAGGCTCGGGGCTACTGGGCACTTTTCATTGATCTGTTCTACACCCCACAACTCCTGTTCTCCCTTCCCCTCTCGCATCCTAGCACAGGAGGTATGGGTGTACACATGATGAGGGGGGTCCTCTCCTCTGCTCCCTGGGGGCCAGGCCTGTAACAGAAGCTGTCAAAGGATTGCTCACTGGGAAAGAGAAACCCTCAGATGTTCTTGGATCTTGGCACAGATGCTTATTGACTTGGTTGCTGAGGGCCTCAAAGCTGAAGGACGCTGAGACCAGGTTATAGGAATGGGGCAGCATGGATGCAGCCTCCCCTGAGTTTGGGTCTCTTTCCAGATGACAATGGCCTCAGTCCTCTCTGGGCTCCTACACAGGAGAAGGTGACATTTGAAATTTATGACCCAAGCCTTGCCTTTCTACGCTTTGTGGTTTATGAAGAAGACATGTTCAGCGATCCTAACTTCCTGGCTCACGCCACATACCCCATCAAAGGGATCAAGTCAGGTAAGAGTTCTTTTTTTTAGTGGTACTGGGGATTGAACTCACAACCTTATGCTTGCCAGGCAGGGGCTTGTGCCACTGAGCTAAATCCCCAGTCCTAAAAGGTATTTTCATTAATGAAAATATTTTCATTATTTCATTGATTTGGACAAGCACCGCTCTTTGTTCTGCATTGCTAGCTTTAAAAAGAACAAAAAGAGCATTTTCTTGGTTTTGATTGCAGGATAGCTTAGAGAACAGGGCCTGAACTGCTGCACATTTAGTGCACAGGAGGGGACAGGGAACTGCTGCGCGCTTTGAAGCTGGACATCTGTGCACAAACTGGAGTGTTATTTGTCACCTGCACAGTAGTTAGATTTTGCTCCTTCCTGGCCAGGGCTAAGTCTGGTTTGATCTCCTTTCCTCTTTTGCACTGGCACTGTGATAAGGCAAAGATTTTACCATATGGCAGGAGCTAGTCTTGAGTTCAACTCTAAGCCTTCAGAATTCTCCATCTGCTCGTTGCAGGGTTGAATTCCCACTTTGAGTTATGATTTTCTTTCATGCTGAACAGAACTAGAAGGGTTGTTTTATGTTTCTTGGGACCAAGCCCCACTGGGTCATGTGACCAGTTTGTAAGACTCTAGACCCTATAAGCTCACCTGTGGGATCCAGGTGTCCAGTTTTTTCATATGACTGAGTAACGACCTCAGGTGAGAGGCTTGGTGACCTAAGAGCCCCATGCTACCTGCATGGGCAGGCAGCTATCAGGGCGATCACTGTGAAGGCAGTGATCCTTGGCAGGTGGGTGGTTTCTCGAATTTCCTTTCCCACTGGATTGGTATTGGCACTGTCAATGCTGCTCGACGTCTTTCTTCTCCTTGGTATTTTGGATGCATGGGATATTGGGTCATAGATGCTTCTAGATTCCTCAGGGGGTCACTGTGCCCTTGTTTCCCAAGAATCATTCTTCAGCAGAAAGACATTACTGTTATTTTAGTCATCTGTATAAAAATACAGTCTTTGGAAGCTTCTTGGTTCCAGTACAGATCCCTCAGCCTGCTGGCACAGATCCTCCATCCCACTGGCATAGACTTTTTAGCTTCCACCGCTGACCTTTGGGCCTTCCCAGTACAGACTTGCCTGGGTCATTGTATGGGCTCTGGGTTTTTAGCTAAACACATGAAGGTTATTGCCAGGGGATCCAGGCCCCCAGCTGGATTTTGTAGGTTTTTAGTGTTGTGGACAGATTTCCTGCACTTTCTTTGTATTTAACTCCTTGGGTGATGTATTAGTCAGGGTTTTACTAGAGAGAACAGATATAACACGAGATATACAGAAACAACAAGATTGGTTTAGGATGGTCAGCCACAGAGTCCGATAAGGAAGCATGCAGAGGATGTCTACACAATGGAGGCTGAAGGATTCAATTCAGTGTCTTTGCAAATCCACACCAGCAGGCTGATAGGTCTGTGACAGAAGGCCGAAGGCTTTGTGATAAAAGGCTGAAAAGTCTATGCCAGAAAGCTGAAGAGTCTACACTGGAAGCCAGAAGACGAGGTCCAAACCAAAGGCAAAGACAGGGGCTTCTCCAAGAATGGAATGCGTTCCTCCTTCCTCCTTGCCTTTTATACGTCCAGGTGATGAGCCACCTAGGGTGGGTCTTCTTCTACACCCTTGGGTGTAGAGTTGCTAAACTCTTTTAGTTAAGCTTCTAAATGTCTCAAGTTGACACAATTAACCAACCACTATAGGTGATCATCATAAAATACTACTATAAATTGTGTGTCCTGTATGTAATTGCTCTCCTTGCAGCCTGTGACTACAACTGTAGGGATGTGTTAGGTGTTGCTAGAAAAGAGCAAGAAGGTCCCTGCTGAGCGCATCTTGCAGCTGGGGGCTTGGGTCCCATTTTTAATGGTTCTTGAGGTTTTCGTCTTTAATTCCTTAAGCCTTCAAGCTAAAGGTCATCTTCTAAAGGAACTGACACACTCTGGCCAGTCAAGTGAGGAGGTTTCAACAACTCTGACCACTTTCTGTGGTGCTGGGATGGCTACATGGTTTCTGCCTCAATTTGGGGCATGGGGAGATCAACGTAGCAAGGATAATAGGGTGGTCAGGAACCAGCAAGTGTAGTTACCATAAAGCCAAATTCACTGTGGCATCCCAGAGACTACACTTCCTGCCATGGAAGAAGCAGTGTCATCCCTAAGACTCATTTATTAGGAGAATCTAAAAGAAGCATACAGAAGATTGGAAAACACTGTCTTTTTGCCGGGCTTAAAGTGGTTGCAGTGCTGGTAACATAATCAGCAAGGTTGCCCAATAGTGTAGGACTGTGGGACTTACAAATGAATGCTCGCTTGTATTGAACCATGAAAATGGATATTTCTAAAGTGCTAAAAAGAAATGAGAGGTGTAATAAACATTTTCTGAAGTTCTTGCCTGGCTTCCTCAGTGGTAAGAGGGGCAGTCTGCACTGAGCCTGCTTCTCTGACGAGCCAACCAAACATACAGATTCCCTGGCACTGCGCTGGGTGAACCAGAGCACCTCGTGGTAAGTGAGGGCCACTGTATTTTCTGACTTCCCATCATGTCTGCTACCTCAGGGTGGGCTGGTGCCCAGGAGGAGAAATGGTCAGATTTACAGTAGTAACACAGTGAGAATTTCAGAGACTGACATGTTCCAAGTTGGAAGGAAGGAAGGAGACCGAGTTCAGCTCTGCATGACTGATACTGCATGAAACACCAAGGCACAAGGAGACTAGAAATCTTTAAAGATACGACACCTGTGTAGGGACCTAAGTGGAGGAAGTAGGTGTGAGGACTGATTATTCCTTTGAGTCCTTTTTTTGGTTTTGTTTTGATCTTTTTTGAGACAGGGTTTTGTGGTGCAGTTCAGGCTGACTTGAACACACTTTGTAGCCCAGGCTGGCTTCAAACTGCCAGTGATCCTCTTGGCTCTGCCTCCCAAGTGCTGGGATCCTTTGAGTCTTTGGCCTTGGGAATGTTTCAGGAATTGAACCATAGCCACAATCACAAGAAATTCAATGCACAATTTCTGTAGGTTTCAATTTCTTCTGGGTGATTCAATTGCATTTCCAAATGGCAGATAGTTTTACCCTCCCTGTGTTGGATCTCTTTTGTCAGCAGTCTCCTTGACCTTCAGATGAAACTCCTGTCTTACCAAAAGCCTCCAGCATGGGATGCACTGACCTCTCATTGATCCTATGCATTCATAGGATTGCTGGATACCCCAAGAAAGCTAAGGTCTAACATTACCCCCTGCCTTTGTGTTTTCCTCCATTCTGCTGCAGGGTTTCGATCTGTTCCTCTGAAGAATGGGTACAGTGAGGACATTGAGCTGGCTTCCCTCCTGGTTTTCTGTGAGATGCGGCCAGTCCTGGTAAGTGGCACCACTGAGTGAGGTGGTGGTGGATTATAAATACTGTCACCTCATGACCTTAAACCCACTGAGACCAAGACATCATAAAAGAACTACTTTTTGCGAATTTGGCAGTTTGCGCTCTGAGCATCCTTCTTCCTTGGAGAATGCTGTAGGATACTGGGAGTAGCAGTGTAATCGGAAAGGGTGCAGAGGGCTGGGGATTTAGCTCAGCGGCATAAGTGCTTGCCTTGCAAGTGTGTGGTCGTGAGTTCGATCCCTGGTACTGATAAAAACGAAAAAGACCAAAAAAAAAAAAAAAAAAAAACAAAAAAAACCCCAAAAGGGTGCTGGTCCTCATAGGTTCCTCCTCATTTCATGTCACCAAGAACAGGGCCCGATGGTACTCTTCTAGATAAATCATCACTCTGGAAGCTTTTGGTCTCTGGTCATCTCATCAAAGGGTCTGAGAGCACTCACTAAGGACAAGGACCTGTCCTGGAAGGAGCTTCCATGGCAGAATTCCCCTTGCAGCTGTGTGTACTGGAGGTGCTTTCCTTTTTGGGCTTTTTGTTTTGCCAAGGCTTTGAAGAGTCTTAGCCTCTCCTTCAGTTCACTAGTTAGGCAGGCTTGTCAGGAAGGTCCAGGCCTCACTGCATGGTATTAAGGGATGTAATCAGGAGGAAAGGTTAAAAACAGAGCAGGCTGTGGGTAGCTGAGGCTTGGGCTTGACCGCTGAAGAGCTGGATACTGTGATTCTAGAGCCTGAGAAGCTGAGTGGCGGCCTCTCCCACGATGCACACCCACGCAGCAAGCGTTTCTATGACGCCTGATGTGTTGCTAGTCCCAGTATCCCAGATATTTCCAAAGCATGGCCGAGGGTGGGGATTCCATGGGCCCTCAGGTCCTCTTTGGCAAACCGGAGATTCTGCTTCTGGCCCCAGTTGGGTGATACGGTCTTGGTCCTGGCCTGGCCCTGTGTTTTGTTGTCGCATCCTGATGGTTTTCCGGGTAGAGAATTCAGTTGCCAGTGAAGTCAGTCGTTCTTTCAGCTGCAAGATCTGAGCAGTGCTTTGCTTGCTTGGCGCCTTCTGGGACAGCTGCAAAACTTCACATGGGGAAAAGGACAGCAGAGAGGGGCTGCCTGCGCAGGATCTGGGGTTCATCCTTCTGCTGCTGCGGAGGGAGCCAGTGCTGTTCCTCTGCACGCATAAAGCCCAGGCGATGGGAATGATTTCTGGGGGTGGCAGGACAGCACCTGTGAGGTGCAAAGTGGTCATAAACAACCAGGAACCATTATAAATAATTTGAGTGCCTAGCAGCAGAGAGAATATACCTAGGAGGAAACTGCGTTTCTTCAGCGTCGGTTTCCTTGGGGGCACAGGGCAGGGGGCATTCCTCCGGCTCTGAGAGCAGTCTGCAGAGTTGTCTGAATGGGTGCGATTTAGTGTAGAGTTGTCTGAATGGGTGCGATTTCACTGCAGCTGCTGGCTGTCAAGGTTCTGTTTAATTCCACACCCATCACCTGGTTCTGGGTCACTCATGGGTGCCCTTTGGCCTTTCCATGCACACAGGCATGAGGGCCTTTCTCTTGGGAGCTGAGCTGGGGACATCTGCTCGACCTGGGCTCTGTCCTTGGTGCCCAGGGTGGAGCCTTGTTTTATTTACCATCATCATGCAGGCCTGGGACAGACTGTAGTCAACAGCAAGGCTTGTCTGAGCAGGTGACTGACCTGGCGAAGGCTTCTCGGGGTTTACTCCTGACACATTCGCTGAGAGAGTTTAAAGCCCCAGAAAATGTCAGCAAATGCTTAAAACCCCTACCAAAGAAGCCATTTACATGTCACAAGTACTTTACCAACGCACAGCCTTTTACCCCCTTAGCAGCACCTGGTTTATAAAGCGCATGTCAGTGCCATTACCCACTATATCTAACTTGAGGACCCGCTAATGTCTTGGTTGGGCTCCTCTCCCCTTTGGTTTTGGGTGGGCATTTCCGGCCCTGAATTCACGCCCACTTCACAGGTGATTCTGAGCACTCTGTTTCCATGTGAGGATTTGCAGAACCTCTGTGGCAGCAGGTGCAACACACCTCCACTGCGGGCTGTCAGGGGTCGGCAGAGGTTTATGTCACAAATACTGAAGGTCTTTATGTAACTGTTTATGATTAGGAGTGATTTCCTAAGCCTAAATATTTAGTAATGGAGCAAGAGGTCAAAGAACAAAAGCAGCATTTCCTGTGAGGGATGTGAACTGCTCTCTGAGTAACAGGTTGATGCCTGACATTTGGTCTCTGTTAATTGGAAGTGGCCTCCCCCGCACTGACCTAAATGATAGGAGACAGACGAATGTGGTGGGGCAGTTTGGAGGTTGGAGCGTCTCAGAGTCATCCTCTGTGGGTGCGCTGGCAGGACCTGGAGGGGACAGCAGGGAAAACTGGCTTCTTGGGGGTTTCCTGCATCCTATTCTTGTGAGCTCTGTTTTGCTCTGGGCTGGGGCTGGGGAGCTGGATACAGAGGATGGAGAGCCCCAGTAGAAAGAGGTGCTTTGGGGGTTCTCGGTGCAGCCAACCAGATGTGTGTCCCTTAGGAGAACCGCCACAGCATACACACTGCAATGCTGGACAGCTGAGCACTGTGCTTGAGCTGAGCTGGGCTGAATTTTCGAGGTTCAAGATTATTCTTCACTTAGGGGGACCTGGAGGCACACAGAACGCTGGTTTGGGCCTCCCCAGCTATAGCTGTGTTCCACTGGGCCCACAGAGCAGAAACCGCTCTGCCCCCCACCCAAGGCCCAACATGCGGACACAGCCACGGAACGCGCAGACCATGGACACGGGGTCAGAAGACAGGCACAAGGCCACACAGGAAGAGAGACCCGCGGGCGGCCCCAGACAGGTGGCTGGCAGGTGACACCAAGCCTGGGAGCATCAGAGGGGACTGTAAGTCCTTGGAGCTTCCAAAGGCATCCGGATAACTCTGGAAAAGGCCTTTTGGGTCTGGAACAAAACTAATTTCCTCAGTCTAAAATTTACTATGTCAGTAAAGGGGCCCATGTCCGTGACCCCCAAAGCTAAAGCAGAAGAAAAGTCTCACAGTCCAGGGCCACAGCACCATGAGATGGGAATCAGGAAGGAAAGGACAGGCTGGGAGCTGTTAATGGGACATTCACAGGAGAGATGTGCTCTGGTTCACTGCTCAAAGGGCTCCCTTCCCAGGTAGGATGAACATAAAACACATTCAAAATTTAGTCCTGGCCATAATTTAGTAGGAGTTTAAAATTCCCTGACTTCTTGGCATGCTACAGAAAAACGGGTGAGGTTAACATCAGGCCCCTGCCCATCAGCACTGCAGATTACGGGACACGGCATCACCAGGCTGGAACAAGAGGACAAGTGTCCACCACTCCCGTGTCAGGGCAGCAGAACTGCACTGTGGACATGCAGGACTCCAGATATGTGCGGCAGCTTCCCCCCAGGAAGTGCCGAGGCAGCTCCCAAATCAATGATGTTTTATTCAGAAGACAAAGCTCTGGATAGGGAAGAGAGGGAAATGGCTAATTTTGCAGTACAATTCCATCTTACAGGATGCTGCTGCTGTAATTAAGACTTGATGATGGTAAATCTCACATAAGGTAAATCTCTAATGAAAATTCCAAAATCAGAAGCTAAAAATTATATGGAAAACTCAGGTGTTGAAAGATTAAAGGTTTCAACACTGATGGGTGAGACTGTGGCAAATAAGATGCCGTGGGGATCGCAAGTTTGTTCTGAGATTTGGACAAAAAGGAAAATACAATTTTATTAGGACTGTTGAAAAACAAACAGAAACTTGACCAAGACAATAAAAATAAGAAGACAGATGAAGAAATCGGTGCAAAGCAAAATATGTGTAAACCAAATGACACTAATAGAACTTATATTTAATGTAAATGGACTGACCTCTTAAAGAATAAATCCAACTAAGCAATGGTGAATTTAGAAGCAAGCCTAAAAGCAAACTATAAATACAAAACAAAAACACAAACAGGAATGGTTAGAGTTACTGGGAAAATTGGGAAGGAAAAGTTATTATCAACAGAATTAAAGAGCATTAAGAAGAAGAATAATAAAAATGTTTCATTTGCCAAGGGGCTTAACAGTTATCAGGACACAGCATAGAATGAAAATATATAAAATAAAAGCTTCTAAAAAGCCAACTAGATAAAGAAAAATCTTTCAGAATTTGGATGATCCAGTATACAAAAAAAATCACCAAGGACAGAAGATTATCATTTGATTTTTAAATCCATACAAATGATATTTATACCATTTCCTCTTTGTTTCATGAACTTTATAAACTTGCACACTAGGTACAAGAAAAGAAACCCCGCAGAAAGAAAACAATACTACTTTGTACATTTACTTATTTAGAGACAGAGTCTTACTATGTAGTTCAGGCTGGCCCTGAATTCACTATGTAGCAAAGGCTAGCCTCAAACTTGCATCAATTCTCCTGCCTCAGCCTCCTGAGGGCTGGAATTACAGGTGCGTGCCTTCATGCCTGGCTTATATTTTTAGCTGTCACTTGATAAAACTTACAAAAAGATGTTCACTGTCTTAAGTGACTTTTCTCTTGTGCTCAGGCAAACTACCTGACACCCAGAGTTATAGGGGGAAAGGTTTATTGTAACTCACAGTTAGTAGTGGTTCAGTCCATAATCAGCCGGCTTCAAGGCAGAGTGGCTTGGCTCAGGGCCATCACAGAGGAGAACAGTTCATGGCCCCTGCAAGATAACACAAGCATTACGAGAAGGGAAAGAGACTAAACTCACCCTTAATCCCAGCATCACATACTCTAGATTCAGCCATCTCTGAAAAAGCCCTATAACTGCAAGAGGCTCTGGGGGACATCTAGACACAAACACAACACTTATTATTTGAAAATAAAAATTTTATACGTAAGAACTTCTTATGCAAGTATGTTACCCAGGCAGTGGGAAGATGCTTAACTGTACAGACAGACTTCATTTTTGTGGCACTTCACAGATACAGCTTTATTTTAACACATGGAAGGCTTGAGGAAACCCTCTGCTGAGTAGGAGTTGGTGCACTTTGTGTGTCTGTGTCACACTGTGGTGACTCTGACAGCATTTCTAACATTTCCATTATTATTATACCCGTTAGGATGACCTGTGAGCTCTCACGTTACTACTGTACTTGTTTTGGTGCCATGGACTGCACCCACGGAAGACAGTGAGCTTCACTGGGGAGCACTGTGTGCGCTCTGAGGGCTGCACTCACAGGCCCCTGGTCCCGTCCTTTGCTACTCCTTGGCCTCTCTATTCCCTGAGACACAAGTAATGACCCTATAGCGCTCCAGTGAAACAAGACCCACATGTGTCTGGCTAACGGCAGAACTAGAAGACATTCAGCTTTGTGAGGAAGGCATGTGGAGACTTGTGTTAGGCTGAAAGCCAGGCCCATGACACCAGCCACGCTGCAGACACAAAGGAAAGGTTTTAGGAAAGTAAAAATGCTTCTCTAGGGAACACACCAATGACAAGGAAGTGGAATCAGCCTTATTGCTGGTCTGGGGAGCATTCCAGTGGCTTGGATGGATCAGACCACCGTTCTATGCCAAGGCCTCGTCCGGAGCAAGGGTCTGACTGTCTGCACAGCTGTGAGGCTGAGAAGGTGAGGACGCTGCAGAGGACATGTGTGAAGCTGCCAGAGGCTGGCTAGCAGGTTTAAGGAAAGACGCCGTCTCCATCAAGTGCAAGGCAAAGGAGAGCAGCAAACGCTGACGGACTCTACAGCCAGATACTCCAAGGGCAGAGCTCAGATCACTGCCGAGGGCTCTGTCCAACAATATCCCCAGTGCTGGCGAGACACTCCTGGCAGCTTGGAAGAAGATGCCAGCTCAGGCTCTCACGGCAGGAGAGAAGTCCAGCTTCAAAGGCCAGGCTACCTCTCTTGTTAGGAGCTAAGGCAGCTGGTGATTTTAACATCGAAGCCACTGTTCATTTACTATCCTGAAAATCCTAGGGCCCTGGAGGATTACACTAAATCTACTCTGCCTGTGCTCCATACATGGAAGAACACAGTCTAGATGACGACATATCTATTTACAGCACCGTTTACTAGGAAAAATTTCAGTCCACAGAGGAAACCTACTGCTCAGAATACAGATCCTTTTCACACTGTCAGTGCTCATTGATGGTGTAGCTGGTCACCCAGGGGCTTCCCTAGAGATGTCCAGCAAGGTAAATGTAGTTTTCACACTTGCTAATGTACGCAACAACCGTTCTGGATCAAGGAGTAACTTTAACCTTCAAGTCTAGCCTTTAAGAAATAGATCTGGTAAGCTACAGTTGCCTTAGTGATTCTTCTGATGGATCAAGGTAGAGTACATTACAGACCTTCTGGATGGGATTCACTGTGTCCAGTACCATTAAGAGCATTTGTGATCCATGGGGGGGGGGGGTTGTCCAAACTCTCAGTATTAACAGGAACTGGGAAGAAGCCAATTTCAGGCCTCAGAGATGATCTTAAGGGAGGCGGAGGAAATAGCCAGGGAACTCGTCAGAAGTGGAGCCTGAGCAGGTGCCCGAGTGTCTGCACTCTCATGGTCAGACCAGGATGATGTGGAGTTGCTGTGTGTGGACGGGCGAAGGCAGTGGTTTTCAGCTGGACTCCACTCCTGGAAGATGTGCTAGGCCACTGTTGAAATGATCATGAAGGATTCAGGGTATGATACAAATCTGATAAAGCGGTAGTGGGGTTTGACAGGACAGAGCCCATTTAGAGAGAAGTTCCACTGCATGTAAAATGTTTCCAAACAGCAGCCTGTGCTGCAGAGAAGGGTCTGTCGATGCAGTAAACTTCACTGCTCTGTTTCCAAGAAATTGCCGCAGTCATCCCAACCTTCATCAACCACTACACTGGTCACTCAGCAGCTGCCCAGACTTCTAGTATCGGGAAGATTATAGTATGCTGAAGGCTCACAGGACTATTAGCATTTTTTAGCAATAACCCACTTTTAATTAAGATATATACATTGATTTTGAACATAATGGTGTTACATAACCATGAACTATAGTGTACTGTAAATATAACTTTCATGCCCTGGGAAACTAAAAGCTTCATGATGCCTGTAGTATTGTTATGGTCTGCAATCAAATCTACTATCTCTCCCAGATCTGCCTGTGTTTAGGAAAGTGCTTGCCTTAAGACCTGCAAGAATCTATATTCTAATGACTTACACACTAAGTATTCATTATAAGAACTTTTAAAACACCAGTAATAAACTAAATAGAGGTAAAAGTCAACTGAATGAAGCAAAACTGAATGAAAAAAATTACGGTTAATAAAGATACATGCAACAACCCTTTGCCTATTTAAATACAAGAACACCCAAGCAAAAGCACCCACTAGTAAACATTGGAAAGGAAACTGAGCCCCAGATAACAAACTGCACACATGGGTGAGTGCCTTAAGACATGTAAGTGGACCAAAATATTCTGAGAAAAACTGGAAAAGTCAGAAATGAAATCCTATAGAAGTCACTGGAAGGGTTATAAGACCCTTAATAAAGGGGGATAAAACAAGTGTCACATCTAGATGGGTTTTTATCTGAGTTCTGTTAGAATTCAAGAACATAGTTCAGATTGTATTCCACGGATTTCAATAGGAAAATGGAGATTCTGCAATTGTCTTGAAGTCATATAATTTTCATTTGTAAACACATACAGACAGAAATCCTAGCTCTCCACCCACAAGTATCACTTATGGACGCAGATGTTAAGCTGAAGAAAAATAACAAGTCATTTTCAGCTACTTACAGAAGCATGATATAATAGAAGTAGTTTATTCTAATAATGCACAGATAGTTAAACACTGGGACAATTAAGTGAAGGAAAAGTATTAATTATTAGATCTCAAAATAAATAGCATCAATCATAGGGAAAAGTGCATTTATCTACAAATTATGATTATATATACACACATACATACATACACGTATATAGGTGCTTTAACCTAAATGGACTTCCATTTATTAACTGAAATGCCTCCAGTTTATTTTGATACATCTTTTCCCCATGGTGATTTACAGGATCTTTGAGCCAATATAAATATTTCATAAATATTTGGCCATTTGGGTATATACCTGCACAATACCTCAGCAGTATCTTTCAGCAAGAAAAACACTGAAGAGTAAAGACCCAACACAATTAACTATGTAGAATGAACATCTGCTCCAAATATTTATTTCTGAGGTAAAGGTACCACACCTGTTCAATTGAGAAAACATCCTTACAACACAGAATGCAATGATTTTTTATTCTTAAGCAAGGTCTAGAATGCTTAGCCACCAATTAGATGCTGAATGGCAGGGCTCCATCCCCAGCTTATGCCATGAATTCATAGGGAATGGGTTCCGCTGACTCAGGCTCTTTCCCATGGGGTCTCAAAGTGCTACTCTGGGCGGGGCAGGCTGGAGCTTTAGTTGAACCCAGGGGCCTTTCTCTTCTCCCTGAGCCATTTCAGGAAGCTGTTGAACTCTTGAGGAGTGTTTTAATACACTCAATATGCACATTAATCCTCTTGGCAAGTATCTTGCCCTTAACTTGCTTGTTTCCAACAATGCCAACATCATGCTGGGTAACATGGTAGACTTTTCCTGTTTTGCCATGGTAACATCTATGTGGCATTCCTTTTTGCACAGTACCACTCCCTTGACATCTACAATATCACCCTTTTTTGTAGATTTGCACATATGTGGCCAAAGGAACAACTCCATGTTTTCTAAAAGGCCTAGAGAAGACATAGCGCATTTCCCTCCTCTTTCCCTTTATGTTTATCATTTTGGCAAATTACTGGAAGAGGGTGGTTCCGGCCAAAAGACGATTACATATTTTTAAAAGCTAAGGACACTACCTGGACATGGTGACACACTCCTGTAATCCCAGCACTTGAGAGGCTGAGGCATGAGGATTGTTGCAAGTTTGAGACCACACTGGGCTACAGAGTGAGCTCAAGGCCTGAACTGAACTGCACATCAAGACCCTGTCGCAAAAACAAAAAAAGACTAATGTTTATTTCATATTTATATAATTAGTTCTCTCTTCTACAAATGGCACATGGAAATGTGGGGTGGGAGGTAGGGACAGATGGAAAATTCTACAGATATTGACAAGAACTATAAACATTTAGGAGCAATTTAAATAAAGGTATAGGACTTATGGAAGGCAAAATATAAAATCTTGTGATAAATCAGCAACTGAACTAGTAAAAATTTATACCAACCCTTTCCAAATTAACATCTGACTAGAATTGAACGTATCAGTATCAACTCACAATTAGTTGTTCAGAGAGAAAGGTAAATAAATCTGTTTGTTGGCTAAGAGACTAGTATCAGTGCCCCAGGAGCAGTGAATACACAGAAACACCTAGATACTAATTTCTAAATGTCATTGTCCTGTGAAAGAAATCAGAACTCCTTAGACAAGTAATTAAACCAGATCTGGATGGTAAGACAGAAAATCAGTCTGCAGCATCTTAAAATTCCAATCAGTAAAGAAGTGTTAAAGCTTGGGAGGCTGAAGCAGTGAGATCATTGCAAGTTTGAGACCAGCCTAGGCTACAAAGAGAGTGCAAGGCCAGCCTGAACCACATAATGAAACCGTCTCCAAAAAAAAAAAAAAAAAAGTATTGAAGGATGGGGGCTACCAGATAAATATATGAGCCAACCTGAAGCAATTTGAGTAACAAAATTGATAATGATTATATTGAATTTTAATGGAACAAAATATATATCCACAAATGAATAAAAGAGGTAGCTCTTCCTTGCAGAAGAATTAATACAGAAGGAAGGCAAGAGCTAGAAAATCTGGGACACCACAGCATGACCTGCTAGAGGTTAGATTTACCCATGGATGCTCAAATTAGTGAAAGCCCAAAGGGTGGGATGTCTACATTACCTCAAGAGTGGCCTCCTCCAAGAAATGTGTGAATTAGAGAAAAATAGCTTTACACTGGAAAACCCGGCAGACATCACCTTAACCAAATGATCTGTCAGCACCGTGAGTAGTAAGACTCATTCATATCATGTACCTCACCAAGAAGGGCGCAGCCTTACTCTGACATTCTTGCGAAGACTGAGAAACCTCAAACAAAAAAGGAAACCAGACCACCTTCAATTGTGGGATGTTGTACAAAGTAACCAAATGCTACTCTTCCAAAGCCTCAAGGTCACAGAAGATAGGGGAAGACTAAGGAAAACTCAGAGGAGCACAGGAAGTGCAATAGCTAAGTGCAGGGTGTGTCCTGGCTTGGATGTTAGAACAGAATGAAGACAGTAGGTGAAACTTCAATAAATCTGTAGCTCAGTGATGCACCAATGTTAGTTTCTCAGTTGTGATCACTGTTCTACAGTTGTGCAAGATGATTACCTGGAAATCTGGTGATGTAAGTTACCTGAGAACTCTGAACACTTTTTTTGATAAAATTTCAACATGAAATGAGAAATAGCATCACTGGTGGAATTTGAAAATTTTTTCTCTCAAAGAGAAAAAAGCTAGAGAATGCTATAAAAATCATGTCAAAGGCCAAATAAAGACCTTTAAAAGGCCAAATAATATTTTCTGAAATTTTACATAAGTTTCACCTCATCTGGCTGGCCTCAAAACTTGTAGTCTTTCCAAACAGCTAGAATTGTAGCCACCAGGCTGGTGGCCTGTGTAAAACTAATTGCCAAAGGTTTCCTATGTTTTCTAATTAGACTCTTGGACAACAAAAGTCTAATTTTTTTCAATGTGAAAATAGACTCACCAGGATGCCAGGAAATGGTTATCACAAAATTCTAAGGGGGTATGAAGAGGGAGGCAGCGGGAGGGTATAAAGCTGCTCTTTTTCTTGACCTGTCTGGTACTTCCACAGCTGTCTGCTTTGAATAAGGAATGACTCTCCCTTGTCCCCTCTTAAGTCTCAGGTCCGGCTGTGACCTTACAGGGCGTCCATGAGGTTGTTAGGTTGTTAAGACAAAAACATTCGCAGAGCAAGGTTGTGCTTGTAGTAAAAAGAAATGACATGACCAGCCCTGTGTGCATCGGTGCTCGTTCAGAAGCCCTGGACTGTTGCTTGACTTAGTCCACCACAGGGCAGGTGTGCAGGACAGACTGGCCTCCTGTGCAGCCGGCCATGCGCGGACGGCTTCCTTTTGAAACCAGGAGGTGTCAGGGGTCCTCATCCTCCCTCCACACTGCAATCCAAACTCCTTGTCCTCACGGAGTCCCCTGCCCCAAGCACACTGAGGCTAAATTCTGCCTCAGGTGTGGCTGCACTTTGGTGCTCACCTGGCGGTCCTGTCCACTTCTCTTCTGGCCTCATTTCCAACTCCCTCTACATTTTAGAGAAGGGCCGCGGTAGCATCACTAGGACCTGGGTACATCCAGTCGCTCCTCCAACTCATCCCAGACAGTTTCCACCCAGAGCTCAACCGAGGCCCGTGGATGCTTCTAAACAGGCTGGCTGGGGACATCTCTGGAGTGGAGATGGTGGGGAGAAAGGCAGCAGGGATGGGCAGACCGCCACACGCCCATCCTGTGGGAGTAATCCATGGTACCTGGCTTTATGGGGGGCCAAGCACTCCAGAGATACAGCTCACATTCCATTGATCACCCCAGTAAGGTGCCACAGTAGCATTTAGCTTACCCACGGGGTGCAGCCATCACTGGTCAGATTTAGAATATTTTCAACATCTGGGAAAGAAACGTGCCTACTCATTGTCACACCTGCCTTGTCTCTGGCAACCACTGATTTTCTGTCTCTGTGATCTCCCTGTTTGAGATATCTCATATTAATGGCACTGTGTAGTACACACTCTTTAGAAATGATTCTTTCACTTAGCAGTGTTTTCTGGGTCTGTCCATGTCGTAGCCTCTTACTTTGTCCTTCAATGCCCTCACAGGTTTTAAGTTACCTGCCTTTGCCTGGCCTCAGATTTTCCCGCACCCCACTTTAAGCACAGAGATTTTTGACCAGCTTTTTATTTAGATAAAAGTGAAAAGGTGATTCAGACCAAGGAAAAACTAGACTGGATTGCAAAACATGCACTGTATTATTTTTGTGCTTCACAATAAAGCAACGTGGTGAAGACCAAGGCCTTTACACATGGACAGCTTCCAATGTAATCTTTGAGCTTTATCTTGAGTTAAAATAGGTCTTGGGCCTGGCACAGTGGTGCACGCCTGTAACCCCAGCACTTGGGAATCTGAGGCAGGAGAAGCGCCATGAGTTCAAGTCTGGCTTGTGAGTTCAAGACTGGTAGTAACTACATGGCAAGACCTTGTCTCAAAAGAAAATTAATTTAAAAAAATTTTTAAAAAGCAGGCGTTGGCTGTCCTGGGATAACCCCAACTGCTAAGCTTCTGCCCTCTGCTCCCTTTGGACACATGTGGGACCCCATGTCCCACGGGTGTCCACGGGGCTGTTCTCTCCCCTGCTCTCCAGGAGTGCGAGGAGGAGCTCTATTCTTCCTGTCGGCAGCTGCGGAGGCGGCAAGAGGAGCTGAACAACCAGCTGTTTCTGTATGACACACATCAGAACTTGCGCAATGCCAACCGGGACGCCCTGGTCAGGGAGTTCAACGTCAATGAGAACCAGCTGCAGCTGTACCAGGAGAAGTGCAACCGAAGGTGGGCTGGCCTCCCTCAGCTGCTGCGGGTCACGGGCAGAGCTTCAGGGAAGCCCCCGCCCGCCATGCGTTCTTTAGAAGTTGTTCAGTGCCCTGGGTGCTGGTTCTCTTTGCTCTATAAGTGAACTTAAAGTACTAACTTCTTCACTTCCACTCCCTAAGTAGAAGTGTCTTCCATCTTAGAAGGACATTTCAATGTGACAGTGAAAACAGATGACCATTTTACTGTCTTGCTGGGAATGGAACCCCGGTCCCCATACAGATGACAGGCAAATGCCTCACCCCACTCTACCACAGCTCCAATGACCACTGATCTTTAAGGAGTCCTAGTTGAGTTCCCAAGAACAGGCTAGGACAGTGGGTGGAGACCGGATATCAGGGACGATCCTCCTACCCAGGGGAGGCTCCTGGTTATGCCAAGGCAAGTGATGGGCTGGAAGGGCAGCCGGGATACCACATCTCTCAATATGCCCAAGAGCAGCCAAGCAACCAAGCATTATCTGGGTGCAGATGCTAATGGCCGTCTCCAAAAGCAGCACTGTGCCAAGCTCCCTACAGGATTTCAGTGATCTTCAGGTCAGCTCACAGAGCAGCTGCTCCCCTACAGCAGTGAGGCAGCTGAGCCTCTCTGAGCTGCAGTGTCTTGCAGGAGCCAACTCTCATCTCCATGCCATTCAGGCATAAATGACCCCCAGTGTCCAGGATTATCCACGGAGCCTGCACCGTCTGCCCTGCTGGTGATGGTGGCATCTGTTTCATTTCAGGTTGCGAGAGAAGAGAGTCAGCAACAGCAAGTTCTACTCATAGAGGCCAGTGTGCATATGGAAGGGTGTGGTGGGTGCACGTGGAGGACTGTGCGCCGTCCAGCTCTGGGGAGAGACTCCTGTGTGACACCATCATCTCCCTAGGTATGCCTTCAAGATGACGTGTGCAGAAGACCCAAAGGGCTCAGGTTGGGTTAACTTCCTGCTAGTTTTTTCACAATGGACAATTTCTTAACTTAAATTCTTTATAGAGAATCCAAAAACGATTTGTCGTTTTGGCCTCTCATGTTCCAAACCCCACTAAATAAAAGCAACAGAAATCTCCACCAGTTAAGCCTTTTATGCATGGCCTATACAGTAAAATAGGATTTTTTTTCCTGACCCACAAGATTCTAATGGCCCAAGATTTGGTAATCGACTTCCAAAATGAGCTGGGAATGTAAGGAACTAATTCATCCAGTTCTGAAAAAGATTTTAACTGAAAGGGAAATGATTCCAAAATTAAGGCCACTGGATCCCACAAGGGCCCAAAGAGAAGATGTGCCCTGTCAGTGGGCTCACTCTGGAGTGTATTAACTGCATCAGCTGGCTGGCTGGACAGATCTCCTGCCTGGACCTGCTGGAGTCCACAGTAAATGGTTAAGTGATGCAATCTGCAGGACAATGTCTAATCACTGTTAGAGCCTTGCTTTGTGACTAGTATTACTGGAGGTGGTGTAGAAACCTTGGGATCTCTTTTTTAAAAAACCAATCAGAGAACAGAGACTGCTGGAGGTCAGCTTCTTCTCCAGTACCCCACTGAGTGGCTGGGAGACTGCTGGGGAAGCCCTGGGTCCACAGACAAGGTTTATGAGGTATATGAAAGGTATGAAGGAAACTCTAGGCTGTGCAATATTCTGGAGCAAGGAGGGAAGTATTAATAGCTCAGGAGAGTGCTGGCAGACAAACCTGAATACTGAGGTTTTAGTTTGGAAAAAACAACTCATACATTAACAACTTTTGTCTTAAAAAGAGAACACAGTAACAGAGCTATTAATGATACAGCCTTTTACTGAAAGGTAAAAGTTAGCATTTGGCTTGCTTTTGCACAATTAAGGTGATCTTTCCTGCTATATGCATGCTAATAATCTATCAAACTACGCCTCATACAAACTGATACTATGGTTCACAAACTTGATTCTTTTCACAACTCTGGTTGCAAATCACATTGTACAGAACCAAATCAAATTCAACAGTTAGGTCTAATGTTGACCTTATGGGGAAATTTGATTCAGGTCTTGTCTAGTTCAGTTTGTGACTAGCATGATGGAAAGAATTGAGTCTTGCCCTGAAGTACCACTGTGCTTCACTAGTTTGAAAGCAACACATGCGATGCTCACTCATGTCACCTTTTAGTCTGTTTTCTTTTATCAGATCTAATTCAAAGCCAAAGTAAGAAAGCAATCCCAAGTGCTTTCATCAAATTCAAATTGTTTGGCAGAGAATTCTACACTTCAAGGATTTCATTTTCAGAACTACCAACCCTGTAGTCGTTTGTCATTCCTTTATACTCTATCTTCTCACCTGTTGCATGCAGGCCATAGAATCTGTTTTCCCAAATACAACATTCTTGAAATTCCAGTATTTCTATTTTCAGATTTCCAAAATCTAAACAGTATAAGCAGGAAAGATGGAAATCTTAAAATCTGGCCTTTTTTTGGAGACAGGAGCTCACTGTGCAGTTCAGGTTGGCTTTGAGCTCACTTTGTAGCCCAGGCTGGTCTCAAACTCACAACAGTCCTCCTATCTCAGCCTCCCAAGTGCTTGGATTACAGGCATGGCTATCACACCTGGCTCAAACTTGACTTTATCTAGGGAAGAAAACACAGGGTTGTTTCCATGTTAAGAAACTATAAAAATCTGTTACTGGAATTCTCCTTTGCAGTTGTTACAATGCCAGAGAATCCTGTGGAGAGTATCTGGTGGCTTGCAGGATTGTCTCCAAATGCAAAATTTTCTAAATGCATTTTTAGATTTGGAAAATATTTCAGCTGCCCGTTTCCAAGGTCTATTTCAAAAACTTGAAGTTTTCTCAAAGGTTTTGATGTGATAAGACATCCTAGCTGGATATGGTGGCATGTGTCTGTATCTAAGCACTTGGGAGGCATCACCTTGAGTTAGGGCCAGCCTGCACTACATAGTGAGACCCTATCACAAAACAAAACAAAACAAAAACATATGACATCTTTTCTGCTGTTTTTGCTACAACTTACGGCTTTTTTTGTTGAGTACACTGTATATAAAATCTAAAAAAAATGAGGTGGTTAAGCCAGGCCATATCAGTGAGCTGTGGATATTCCTGCCCTTTTTCATTCATAAACAGTCCAGTTTCATCCACACAGTTTACACATATCTCCAGGACTTGTTCTCATGGACATTACTGTACATAAGCAAAGCATTATACTGTGCCTGGACCTCATCAAGTAGTGCTTGAAACTCAGAAATTAAGAGCACGAGTCATGAATTTACCATTTTTGTGACATCTTTGAAGATACCATTTCACTTTTCCTGCTTTCCTTAGCACAAAGAACTTCTTATATAATACAGGTAAAACTGAATGATGTTTTGCTTCTTTAGCAAAGAACTGTATGAAATCAGATGTTGCTCCTCTATGCAAAGTGCCCCATTACTAGTATTTGAAGCCACTTTTCCTGGTCTTACATCCAGTGACAAAAAAGCCTCCATCACAGCACTGTAGGTATCTACCCCTGTGTTCTTCCAGGCAATGACACTAGTTTCACCATCTCTTCTCTCATGATGTCACCAACAGCATAATGCAAAATTATTGCTGGCCTTGGATGATCACTTGTATCTTTGCTTTCATAGAAGCATGTGGAATAACAGGTTGCCTTTTATAAGTCAGTGGTGAGCTGCTAACATCACTTAGCATGCACAGGACTCAGTCTTTGACAGTATTTCTGCTAAGTGGCATCTCAGAGATGCGTTGCATACCTTTATCCTTGTTTGGGAAACCCTGAAAAAGAGAATTACTCCCAGACAACATGGCCATTTTGATAAAATGCCCATTAGAGAGGGTCTTACCATGTTTTGCAATGCTCGGTGAAATTTGAAAAGTTGGCAGTTGTCAGAAAGACAGTTGTAAAAACTAAGATACCAGGAAAGGTATTTCTTCAATTTCCCATCAAGAAACTTTCCTTTCAGTTTCACCAAGTTTGGTAACATTTTTGAGGTGTGTCAAAAGTGCTGTCTGACACTTGATGTGTTACATACAACACTGTCACTTCACAGAATACATGATGATTTCCCAGTTACTCCAAAGGCCTCTTAGAGTGCTCTTCTACTATTTGTTTTGTTTTACTTTTTTTTTTGCAGTCATTTTTTTTGCTATTCAAAACTTTTGTATATAAAAACACACAAAACATTTTTTTAAATGAAGCACCTAATACAAATCTATCTCTATACCAAAAAGTTCCTATTAACACTAATGAATTGGATATTCCTGAATCAACCATCTACAGCAGTGCTCCTCAGCTGCGGTTCCTCTTGGTTTTGCTGACTAACATCTCAAGGGGACCATGTTCCATCCGCCAGCTTTTGGCCTGCTCTGAAAAAGGTGTCTGAGTGCATTTCTTGCTCTGCAGAGACTTCTAAAATCATAGCCAGTGCAAGCAAATATATATATCCTTGTTCTTTGTTGTGGCCTATGTCTCCATGTCCTCCCAAAGCCTCATGTGGTCATAGGTGGGACTTTTTAGAGGTGCTGGATCTAGAGTGTGTGACACTGGGACTGATTCATGGTGCAGTGCTAGTCTGGGGCACTAGGATTAGGGGTGTGAGTGCTACCCACCCTAAGTAGTCTGGATAATATAGAAGGGGCAGAAAGACACTGCTAAGGTCCCCTGCTTGCTTACCTTTGTTGTCTTCTGCTTGTCATGAACTGGTTCTACTCTGAGAGGCCCCTCTAAGTCACCTGGCCTTGGCACCAGTGATTATGGACTGTTATCCACAGACTTTTCCCCCTTTAATTGTAGGTGTCAGGTATTTTGTTTCAGCAATGAGACAAAAGTAACTAAGACACTCTTTTGTTTTTAAAATTCTTTACAAATAATGATGCTGCAGATTCAAAATGCCAGGGGGACAGCACAGCATTAAAAGAACCTCAGCCTATTAGAACATCTCTGCTAAATCCTAGGTATTAAATTTCAGTTTTTCATAAGAAAACTGAAAGCTGAAATCTTGTGTTAATAAAAACAAACGTATTAAAACTCACAGCCAGTCCAAGCCCCCCCCTCCCCCAAAAAAAAGATCCATCCATCCTTGGCAGTACACGGATTGGCCATGCAAAAGCTCTGACAAATCACTGCTAATGAGTCACGTCTGGGACATCATTGGCTGGTGCCGCTACTCCTTTCTGAGCACATGCACAGCGCCCGTGTGCAGTGTTATCTCATGTCCAGCTGCTGGGGCAATGCTAGGATGACTTGGCTCACATGCCTGCCACAGCACACTTGCCATAGTTTGGTCACCACTAACTCAGGCATCAGGATGTTATAAAAGACCTCAAATGCAGTCACTCCCAGAGGGGTAAATCCATCTAGATCATGATCATACCTGTGGCTGGCAGGGACTGTACACCTCTGCATTCCAAGATATAACAACAGAGACTTAATGAGGATGTTGAGACAACAGTCTTGGAGGCAGGTGGGGTCAGTAGCCTCAATTTCTCAGAGTCAGACTCAGGAAAATGGGTGCATGAGAAACAGCTGATGTGGTACAGAGGAACAAACTAGCAGTAAGCGGTGTTTTGCTTAGGTAGAATCTGGTCCTCAAAACCTTTGGGCCCCACCCCTCCTGATTGTCCAAAATGCCAGGCTGAGTCTGTGTGTATCACTGAAATGCTGATTAGTACCAATGAAGCCCTGTCTGACCTCAAACCACACCCCTTCATCCTGTACTTTCATGCTAAGCACGCTGCAAGATCTTTGATCTTGAAAAACATCATGGCTCCTGGCCTTGCAGACCACATCCATCTGTGGAGCTCCTACAGGAAAGCCACCACCTTCCCTAAAGCTGGGCATGAGGTATCAGGGCCTGATCCAGGCGGGTCCCTGCCTGGGACACTGGTTGGTCCTTGGATAGGAAGTTGCTGTTTTACTCAGCAATCGGCAACCCAGGGAAGCAGAGTCCTCACTGGAGCCAGCGTTCAAAGCATCTTTCAAGAAAGGCTGGGTGGGAGGGGTCGAGCTCAGGGCTGCAGGGGAGGAAGAGTCGGATGATGGCCAGTACTCTGTGAGCTGTGGCCGGGGCTTACTGTACAGCTCTGTCACTG